GTGCATGCAGCAGTCCCCAGTATTATCGAACACGTGTGGACGCGCGGCAGCTTGTCCTCCCCGACGCCCTGTCCTTCGCGCTACACTATAGGAACACGGCAATGTTCTTACTGAAGTGTGGAACAGTCTGCTGCCAACAAGCAAGACTTCATCTTTATTGGGACCATGAGACGACGGTGCCACGATGTGATCGTATCATGCTGATCACATACATGCTATTGAGAGTTGGGTTCATGTGGACAATGAATTTTGCATTTGTTTTCCTGATAGTTATATTATGCGTATACAGCCATTATGATGAAGTGACTGGCAACGGATATTTTAACCATAAAACATATCCTCATGCATCCCTGTCTTTCAACTGGACATATTGCCTTGGTAATCCATTGCTAGTTTCGAGTGGTAGATGTTGCTTCTGCTTCAGACACCCTGAATATTAACAGTGTATGACATAAGGCCCGTCCGACCGCCCGGGACGGGCTAGATTTCTGCCGGACGGTCTAATTTTACAGCTAGCCAGCCCTATGGACGGGTGAAAAAAAATATTCAGATAACGTGTCCATTGGCACTGTCTATTTAGTATTTAAGAAGGACTAGTTAAATCTCTTCTGGGATGGTAAGTTTTTGAAGTTACCAGCACAGATGTCTGGCTGGGTTTTAGGCTTATTTCATACACTGATAGGTGAGCTAACCAGATACATACACTGTTTAGACATACAAGGTGACACACACTTATCATGATTTAGTAACGCTGGTAGATGAATATATAAAGGGTTAGCTCGATCATATTCAGTTCAGTAAAAATCAACATGGCGACTTTGACAGCCATCATGGTGGCGGCGATCATCAGCGCCTCGTTGGCTGACCCATTGGTACCACAGATAAGAACGCTGACGACATGGATGTCTGGCGAGTATGACAACTCCATGCAGCATCAAGAAGATATCGCCAACGGTATTCCCGAGGCTAAAAGACATGCTCTTCTTCACAGCTTCTTTGTGCCAGTCAGCGTCAAAACTCTGCATCATAGCTCCATTCTCTACGTAGAGCAATACATGGATTCAGGATCAAGTCCTTACCGACAGCGGCTTTACAGTTTCGTTGCTGAGCAACACACAATTCGAACCCAAATCTACAGCTTTGTGGATCCTTCGAAATATCTTAGTTGGAAAAACGACCGTTGTATATTTGAAGACATATCCCTCTCGGAACTGACCAACAGACCAGAATGTGATGTCACGTGGGTCAAGAAAGGAGACAAGTTCGTTTCTGACTCCGTTGGAGATCAGTGTGTTATCGACTTCATGGGACAACAGGTAACGATTGATGTCAATTCACTGCATTACTTCAGGGATACTTTAAAATCATGTATTCGTATGTGTAGTTGAAATGGTTATGTAGGTAGATCGAGTGAATGCATTCAACTAGAGTTTCGGACGTTACAGCTGAAAACTGATACCAAATAAAATGTGGAAATGTATACAGAACATTAACCCTTTATCGGCTATTGCCTCCCAGTGTGAATTAGTGCCAATGCATTTTCAAAACAATTCTATTTCAAAATACATTCTAAACATTTGTATCATCACTAATATTAGTTATTTGTAACTGATTTTAAACCATTCGATTGACAAAATACTCTTCCTGTCCAAACAAAATACACGGTAGTGTCTTCTCTGACGTCCGTGTCTGAACTTTCGTGAAATACAGTTTCGCCTGTAATGAGCTGTCTTCTCAGAGGTCCGCGCGTTCCAGTCTGTCACTGAATGAATGAATTCCACTTCTAGAGATAATTATTTATGTCTGTTCCTTGTTTAACTGTATCCATGAGTTCATACGTATACGTTTTGGGATACGATAGGTTCGCATCCTAGTGTCCACCAACCTAACCGATTCATACTTGACCATCAGCGAAGAATGGCTACGTGTATTTGACAACGAGAAGATAATGGGGAGTGACATTCCCTACCTCATGAACAAACTTAAAGACATCGTAAGTCCAAGGTAAGTAGTAGTATGTTCTTATACAATCAAGTATTAGCTCACCTGGCCTTAGGCGTCTGGTCCGTCGCCCGTTACAACAGCTCGTGAAATCACAAGGTATATGAAATAATTTTCAGAATGGAGCTTCGTTCGGGATAATGTATTCCGTCTAGGTGGGTTAAACAATACGATTGAAGATTGATTGTCTATCTGAATGTGTAAAGTACTTTGCGCGGATTTATTTTGTCCTCTTATGAAATTTCCTCTGAAGTTATGAATGTGAAATTTTGTTCTGTTTGATTAAAGATTCAACCTCTGTGGCAGGAGTGTTGAAAATATACTTTTTCTCAATACGGAGACTAGCAGTCTAGAACATGAAAAACACACAAAAACTAGACTAGTTTAAATGCATGTATGTCCTATTATTTAGGCATATCGCGAAGAACACTGGCTCAGGGCTGGCTCACGGGCGCGGTCCCTTTGCTGCGAAAGGCCTTGCTGAAAACTGTCCAAAGACCCTTGATAATTTCTTTGATGTGACCACTTACCTGTTCTACGGACATCGTGTCTACTACACGGCTGACCTGTCCGGTTGCCAAGTCGAGGGCGGCGCTGGTCATTACGGCTACAACCACGGCGACTACGTGGATGTGTACGAGATGTTTGATGATGCCCGGATCAGGCCTCAAGCCTACTTTGCATTTTCAAATAAAAAGTTTCACAGAAATGCGGATGGTAGGTATGCATACGTTTCTCAATACCAAACCTGCGTTGTATCCATTATAGGTACATTTGAAGTGGCATGATGGAACTTTGGTTCATTTTAACTTTCACTAGATTTACCGGGGCTGTGAATTAACATTTTACATTATTCATATGTGGTTTACATGAATGCGCACCTAACTTAACATTAACCTCGTTGACCTTTGGACTGCCCATGTATGATCTTGCTATAAAGATTTATACTAGTTAGCTGACAGAGAAAAGAATTAATACACCCAGGTTTGATGCTGAGTTTAACTGAAACAAAAAAGTGGTTACACGACGGTGATGTGGGTATCACAGTTTTGGTTTGGGGTGAAGTTTGTAGCATTTCGGCATCTGATTTCTCAAATTATTGTTATTGTTATTGTGTGTGTGGGTTGGTGGTGTTTGTGTTTTTTGTTTGTTTGTTTTGTGTTGTTGATATTTATTTTATGTATTTATTTATTTATTTTTATTTATTTATTTATTCATTTGGTTTTTTGTTTTGTTTTTGTTGTTTTTGTTTTTCTGGGATGGGGGTGGGTGGGTGGGTGGGGGTGTTGTTGTCAAATCAAATTTTCAAGTGGATAGATATATTTTCTGTTGCTCGGCAGGTTATGTGACAAACTCTTGTTGAAATCTTACGGGTAGGGATATTATTTTTAAGATTATAGAACTACAAATTCTTACCAGATAAACAAATATCTAGACTAATGCTAAGTCTCTGAATATATATAGTTTTGATAGTAACAAACAAGCCCATTTAAATTGAAAAGGAGCCCTAGGGAGACCAGAGATTCAGATTCCTGAACCTGAGGAAATTTAGACTTTATTTTAGGGCTTTAGCACTGCAGATAGGGTTTGGCAGTAGGGAAAATAATGTGGTTCAGGGACAGTGAGACAGACTAACAAATATCGTACTCGTGAAATATGGGGTTCTGTTTCAGCTACTTTAAATGTAAACGTCATTTAATTGTGACGTCACAGATGACACGTTCGCCCCCCGAGTAGTTACCATGGAAGTATCAGGGTAGATGTATGGAGTACTAAATGAACTAAAAATGAATTAAATCTGAATTACGAGGAAGCTAAATTTTTATTGCATGTATATTTTGCCGTTTATAACACAGACATTTTCTTTGTGTAACTTGACCGACATTGATACGATTAACACTATAATTCATTTGAGTGTAACGGAAACACCTTTCAAACACACGTATTAATCTAATACGTTAGAAAATACTTCAAAATTCGGGGATCTGTTTCATAAAGCGATATATCGTAACACTAAGGTGACGGTTACTCTCACATTTTAACAGAGACTGAACATTAACGACAGACGCAGTCCTTGGGCTGCGATCGCTGCCCCTGCATCACAAAAATTGCAAACCCGTGACAATACCCTTTGACGAAATTTGTGACATTTGGTTGCAATATGTAACATATAATGTCATGTAACGTCAGCCTAGCATCAGGGCTGCTGGGGTCATCGAGCGTGCGTAAGCTCCTCTCTGCGATGTATCACCTCTACACGCAACGTCATTGAATAAGCCCAGGGATGTTGAGAGTTTTAATATTAGTTAGTGAATCTTGTTCTGGAAATACACAAGCAAGAGATTTCGTTAAGTTGTAGCTCGTCGTGTGTCCTCTATTATAAAATGGGGGCTGTGGGGTAGCCTAGTGGTTAAAGCTCGTCACGCCGAAGACACGGGTTCGATTCCCCACATGGGTACAATGTGTAAAGCCCATTTCTGGTGTTCCCCGCTGTGATATTGCTGGAATATAGCTAAAAAGCGGCGTAAAACCATATTCACTCACTCACTCACTTTTATTAAATGATAGTTTAAAATATTATATGTGATGGATAAGTCTGCCACTATTATAACCCAAAACGTTGATCAGGTAGAATGGCATCCTCTTCCCACAGAGGTTACTTGTCATATCTTCCTACGTAGGAAGATATGACAGGAGTAACCTCTGTGGGAAGAGAATGGTAGAATGGTTGCACTGTACTTTTTCTGTTTAAGATGTATGGCTTAGCTTGAATTGATATCTACTTTCTATTCACATAAAGTCAACCAGTCTAAGTAAACGTAGGCTCAGTATTATTCGTTCCACTGCTATACTGAGTCTGAGGGGAATTGAATCACTTTAAACTTGGAACCACGGGGGATCAAGCCCTTGGCCTACTAATAGATAATTATATATATGACAAGAGTTGTATTTTGAAACTGTTTTTATTCATATACAGTTACAGGACTATTTTAAAATGATGTTTTCGAGCGTCTTTGAATGTTTCAGTGACTGAGATTTTGTTACGGGAGGTGCGCGTGTTTGACAATGAGACAGTGACCTTTCACCTGTCTCATATCAACCCATCAACGTTGACACTGAAGGCAGAGAGCTTCGCCTATTGCAGGATATACAACAATGGGTAGTACAAAAAGCACATGTTTATAAAAACCAAAAACATTTTGAAAGACAAATCCTTTTGTAAACCTATACATACACGAAATTAATTAGAAACTTTCAAGTGTAGCCCCGAAATCAGTTTAACCCCCTGGCTGCCGAGTTTTTTTTCAGGCGCACATTTTCATACGCTTTGAAAAGTGAACGTTGTGCGAGAATTGCGCTCGCGTGGTCCTAGATCTACGTACGGCTATAAAATTACACAGAAATGAAGAATATTAAATTTCCAATCCGTTGGTATAAATATAAGTGCAACTACCTTGGCGGTTTGAGAAAAAGACCTTGCTAAATGTTGTCCAAATTTTTGTTATGCGTTAAAAAACAGTAAATTTCTCCGCTTTTTATCGCGCACCGATAAAAGCACTGTGCTGCGAATTTTTAAATGGGGCATCTTTACGGAAAGTGTGAGCGAAGAAAATACAGCCTGATATCTGAACGACATAAGTGTATATGAATTGGGTTTATGTGCTTGTGCATAACGTTATACGCTCAACATTAAAAATGACTCGCAATAAATGTCAAAAATGGATTTTCTTCTATGACGTCAAACGACGACAGGGAGGTCATACACGTATAATGATAAGGGGGCATAACTCCGTTATGCGTAACACTAGGTCAATGTAACCCAGATCACTTGGAGAGAATTTGTTGTGGATACGGACGCTATATTTTCGTTATTTTATATTCATGGTGAACAACACTATTCCAATTCAAAGTTCCCCAATGTGAACGGATGCGCTTTGGTAGTTTCACAATTTATAAGAAAAGATGACAACGTACTACATGTGACAGCACCTAATAGCTATTTGAATGGCCCTATCCCATATATAAGTTAGTTCATAGATTCCCACATTCTCCTGTTTGTGTAGATGGAATTTGACTAATTTTGCATCGTTATTACCAGAGTACTAGCCATATCTTCAAATGTAACGAAATTGCTGAAAATAATACAACATTTTAGTTGACGTCATCGCTTGTTTTATGCATTTTGCGACGTCGGAAAAAGACGACATTGGTATGCTGATTAGTATATATCTCACTTATTTTCCATCAATTGTATAAAAGGTCTAGACTTCTATGTCAGAATTTAACACTCTTTAGACAAAATATAAAATGACTGATTTTTCCATTTAAATAGTGTCCTGAATATATCAACAATTAGACGGTTTGACAGTGTATCTTATTGTGAACAACACGCGCACCTGTTTGGCATCAATTTAACGTAAATAAAAATAATATTTCACAACACCCGAATATTTTGTTTGGGATAAGAATTTTGTTTGTTTATGATTATGAAGCTATTTCTCTTCATACGTATGCAATGAAAGATGCAAAAAGATAGCTTTTAATATATGGAACTATATATTATAATATGGATATAAGATTTGTCCGAATTAACACATGAGATGGTATATATATTTTTCAACAATTTTCCTATAAGTAGTTAGAGTTTGATATCCTGTCATCACAATATTATTAAATCGAATATGAATTGAATATATTATCGAAAACAATGATAGTGAATCATAAAACGTTTCCAACAAACGCGCACCTTGCCGATCTATATGCATCATTCTTTTGTCTATAAAACGACACAAAATTATGCAATGAACAAGACAATTCCTTTAAATATGTGTGCATATACATTTCATACCATATATAAATCATTGTCATTAGTATTATCAGTTTTGCATATAAGGTTGAATTATATCACCGTTCATTAACCTGTTCATATGAAATTGCAATATTAGTCCAAATAAATTGAATATTGTACATCATAGGAACTAAAGTAGTTGCAGTTATGGCTACGTTTGATCTTCTAACACTTGTGTAAAGGTTTAGAATATGGTGTATTGCAATAAATATGTCAATTTCTTATGTAAATATGATTTAAACAATCAAAAACTTTCAAAGAGTAAAACACCGTAAACCCTATATGCACGTATGATATGATATTGAACAAGGCTAAATGTAGATACTGAAGTCAGTTTCATGAAAAGTATCCGAACTATCCACAAAATATACATCATAATACTGACAGTGTAATCGGAAGGATAACGCGATTGTGTTTACTCTTGTTCAACCGACCTTCACCTCAAAGAAATTGCCTAATATGTAGAACAATGTTGACGTATGACATCACTACCGCTGACCGATTTCTTACAAAATGGCGGCTTTGCTGACAAGGGTACACAGGATTTTGCGAGGACCCTTCCACTGATTCAGGGATCGTTTGTACATAAATATGAGATGTAAGTAATCAGAATGATTCTGACTATCTGTGTATTGTTATATGTTTTATCGTTCTCACTATACGTAAGAGAAAAGGACAGAAATGCAGATAATTACTGTTGTCGTTCTGCGTGATTTGGCGTCAGTCATGGCGTCACGCTGCACGGAAACTTTGACAATTTCTTATGAATTATCAAATCATTGCATTGTATCTATTTATAATTTCCTATTTCTTGCTACGATACTCTTTCCATGTATATTCTAAAGGTATTGAGCCATTGCAAGCAATGAATAGACGGATGAATGTTGAAAAATTTCAGAAAATGCTACGCAGTGTAAAATCGGAATTTGTCTTTGTTTACATTTCACACAAACGCAGTCTTTCAAGCACAGCGTTCGTTTTCACACCCAATATGTTTCGTCTCATTTTATCTAGACAGTTATTATTGGTGACACACACCAGTTTCAAATTGATTCTAAAATGTATGGGGAATTCAGTGATGCATTTTTCGAAGCTGAATATGAAATCTACGTGATGTAATAGGCGTCTCAATACCGGCCTTCGCGAAACGTGATTTTGTAAACACTATCCAATATGGCGGAAAGCGCTCTACGGTGTTCGTGTAAGTGCAGTTTCGAAAACATCCCAACCGATTCTAGATTCATCGGTGACGTTTCAGAATTATAATTAGCGAAATCATGTAAAACTGATATCAGTGATCATAAATATGTTATTTTTGAAATTCAATACTCACAGTAATTATCCGATTTTCACATTTCAAAACATACAGCAAATAACGCTGTGAATCGCGATTTCATACTGTGTCAAAAAATGTCGCCATTTTCGATGAAACCTATTTTGAAAGGTCATTTTCAGCACTTGAGCTTTGTCTAAAATAATAGTGGATGGTATCAAGAAACAGGAAATTTCCCGCAGAATTCGAAACTGTGAAGTGTATTTGTGTGCGTGGGATACTTTGATTTTTATTCGACTTCAAATTGAGTGTTGAAGGGGAAGGACATATATGTCCCTGTGGCATCCAGGGGGTTAATACAGAAAGCAAGACTGTCGTAATGGCTAATTCTCGGGTTATAAAACCTTTTCCATTTAATATATTCGGCGGGTTACAAATCAAAATGGGTATCTCCAAACATATATCTCAAACCATGTGCAGCATATGTATTTGAAGCCACAAAAATCAAGAGAGACTGCATACAATCTGATTATAATAACAGGAACGTCAAATTCCATGTCCCTTGTTGTTTTCAGTTCGGGTGACATCAAGTTCTTCCTGTCAGACCTCTCAGTCCCCAAACAAATCAGCACCGGAGCTGAACTCGTCCATAGCTTGAAGGTTGGGCGCGCCGTCAGGATGACGTCGTACTACCAGTACTGTGACGGCACTGACGTCAACGCTATCGGGGGAGGGGAGCTCAGGGGTACGTCGTGTAGCTGGTGACACTGCTAAGGAAATGCTATAAATGTCATTCTCATTTACAAATATCATATGTATTCTACGAGTGTTCAGTTTGCTGTATTTTCTGTGCTATATTAAGTAATTTTCATTTATTTTGTCTATAAAAACTTTCTAGGGCTTGAGGGCATATTTTAATTTATGAAATCCCACTTTGACAAAATGACAGTTATCGTATTATATGATTTGAGGGAGTGTTTTATGGTAACCGGGACATCAGATTTTCTAAACTAAAGACTCTAATCGTTTAATGAATTTCATCTAAGCGTCGTGACGTCATTCTGCATTGTTGCTATACACAATGCCTATTGTAAACCAAAAGTCACTGTGTTCTGTAATCTGATTGGTTGAAAAACGTGATCAAATGGTATTCGATTCCCGGAAATTTGCTGCGTATTAATACATACAAACATCGCTCACACCATTGTATTGTTACGTCGTCAGCAGTGATGACGTCATTCAAATCATATTGTGACGTAAAGTCCGAATGACGTCACAAATGAGCAGTTCCAGATGCTACCATGAGAGACAGCCGAAACGGCCGGTTGATGACATTTCACTGCTGTACCCATACACGATGTCAATGAGTGCAGACACAAAAAACGTGTGTGGACCTTTTGGTTTACTTTTGTGTTTACAATGTCGATAAACATCATGTGTTGGCCGATTTCCGGGTGTTATTGAGTATTTGAAGAACGGGAATATTCCATTTGAAACCTCCGGCTGACGCCGTCGGTTCCAAATGAATTACCGTGCTTCAAATACTCAATAACACCCGGAAATTGGCCAACACATGATGTTTATCTCCTAAATGACGTCACGCGCAATTTAATGTTATTTCCCAGAAACAATATGTTAGCTTGAACACTTGAAGTGACAAGTCCAATGGAAAATCCATAGTCCCTCGCGCTTTCCAAGTCCCAAGCTCATGTTTTTTTCATCATAAAACATCACCGAAATGTTCCTATGTAAATGGTGATAATTGATACAAACTTGAACGCATCGGGGTAATGCGTTTGCCAAATGATGTGGCCAAAGGGCATAGGTGACATCAAGTGAGGAGTAAAACGTGTATGTTATTCTTCAAGATACTTACATCTCTCATTGTATTTTTTTCAGCGTATGAATTTATCGGCGATGATGTTGAGGTAACGCTTGAAGCTTTCATCGGTAACTACAAGACCGGAGAAGGGTATGCATACAACCACGTGATTGGTCACTTCATGTCCAATGGCAGCATTACTTTCACAGCCACCTTGGACGACGCCTTCACCTTTATCCCGCTGTACGTCATCAACTACCACTGCAAGATCGACAGCGGATATTTTGACGGAGAAATTAGCTTCTTTCTACCATAACATGACGTATCTCCAATGTAAATATGTAAAGTTCAACTTGATAATGAACAAGACAATAAAATGATTAAAATGTATCTGCTTGTGTCTATATTCATAAGAAGAGGGTTTAGTCTGGTACAATTAAAGGCCTTCCATGTGACTGCAATCAGCCGTTAAGGCAGTCGCCTTACACGATATAGGCGCGAATACACAGTGCCTTATATTAAGTGTCCAATCCCGTGTGGTACTCAACCCCGAACAATTCTCGACCTCATAAAGCTCAGCTGTTGGCACCTGGGAAGATCCGGGTTAGAATTGGTCTTAAGTAACCCATGCTTGTCGCAAGGGGCTAAAGGGATCGATCGGGTGGTCAGGCTCGCTCATTTGGTTAACACGTGTAACCGTATGCCAATTGTGTAGATCGATGATCATGCTGTTGATCACTGGATTATCTGGTCCAGACTCGATTATTTACAGATCACCGCCATATAGCTGGAATGTTGCTGAATACGACACTACACATCAAACAAACAAACCTATAAAGCTGGACAGACGTTCACGTACGCCCACGTCAAAGATCTTTGAAGGGCATTTAGAAGTGGAATACATAAGAAAAGCAAGATTTATGGATGTCAACTTCTTTATTGTGAATAACACGACGTTTCGGAGTGTATGCTGGCTTCTCCATCAGGTGAAACGATACTAGAGAAATAGGCTGCCATTCCACAGGGTGTCACCTTGCAGGTGTCTGTATACAGAAATGTGCATGAGGGACACATCTGTAGGGGAGACCGGGTGCCAATTGTAACAAGGGCGATTACTCTAAAAGTTTTCGCTCAAGCATAATGTAGGTGAGTAGAGTTATTTCCCTTTGCTTTCCTGCGGGTACACAACCGGGTGTTTTTCGGCTGCTCGCTCATGGCGCACATCCGGGCGTTTTTCAGCTGCTCGCTCATGGCGAGATACAGTAGACGAAATCCTTTTTTCACATAAGAAAGTAAATTTTTCACAAAACGTAATAACACGTTCTTAATGCAGTAAATGTTGTTTGGTATGAAATTAACTTTTCAAGTGTAAAATTGAGGTATTACGACTTATTTTGCAGTAGAAATATTTGAGAGACCAAAGTTGTTAACATGTGACGTGGTATGAAACATGGCTACTAGCATCGGGGGCAATTGTAACACTGTGTTACAACTGCTCCCATGTAATTTATGTTATGATAATAAAGCAAATTATGATGTCGGTTTTATGTTAGTTCTTTACTAGTTTCATCATAGTAGAACATTTTCAGTCTTATGTTGATAGTATCAGCCCTCGGGTGAAAGTTTTGGTGTTAGTCTTTGTATTACATTTTGTGCATACGAAAACAATAAATTTAAACTAAAAACATTTTAAATATCGATGGTGACAAAGGTTTAATGTTAATCCATTTCCACCTCAATTGATCAAGGTAACATCTTTCCACATTTCATTTTGATTTTATTTGGAAAATAAACAGATTCTTACATTCGAACCTTCTGTGTTACAATTTCCCCATCCACCTGTTACAACTGCCCCGTGCTCGGGGTCAATTGTAACACTTGCAGTCATTGCATTTGATACGTAATGACTTTGTAACGACATGGTCGTCGAAAGGGTAGGAAAATTCCTCGGAAAATAACAATCTGTGAAAATGTCTTCCCTGATTCCGTCAGAACTAACTGTTGTCATGGGATTAACCATAGTAATCTCATTCAGGTGCATCCTACAAAGCCTCCAGCATTTCTTAAAATGTGCCTCTGGAATGCTCAGTCATCCAGAAACAAACCTATTGACATATTTGATATGATTATTGACGATGACATAGATGTGCTTATCTTAACTGAAACGTGGCTAAGGCCCACGGGTGATGAAGCTAAGATAGCTGAAATGACACCAGTGTCCCATTCTCTCCTCCACTGCCCTAGACTCGATGCAAGTGGAGGTGGAATCGCAATTCTCTACAGAAAATCCCTCACTGTTCGTCGTAGTGACTCAGGAAACAGTTCTAAATCCTTTGAGAACATGAATGTTGTGATAACTTCTGGACAGGCTACCTTTAGCCTGGTGTGTATTTACCGACCTCCACCCTCTGCGAAAAACAAACTGAAAAACAATGACTTTCTTCCAGAGTTATCTACCCTCTTCGCAACACACTCCAAAAACTATACAGTAATTCTTGGCGACTTTAATGTGCACTTCAACACTCGCGAGAAGTCCGAGGTCAAGAAATACATTCAGCTACTGAATACTTATTCCCTTACCCAGCATGTGTCTGTCGCCACACACAAATCTGGCAACATTCTTGACTGGATTATCACACACAGCAGCTGCAATATTATCAAAGATGTCGAAGTCATCGATCGCCAGATGTCTGACCACTTCAATGTCTTCTTTGCAATTGACTTAATTAAGCCAAACAACAAGCATTCAATCTTGATGTGTCGAAACATCAAGAAGATTCAGCCAGATAGTTTCAGACTTGACTTGGTTAATTCAAACCTCCTCACTGATCCTCCCCCTGATGTTGAGGACCATGTTGAGCTCTTCCATGACACCCTCACATCTCTTCTAGACAAACACGCTCCGGCAATTGAGAAGAATGTGATACTCCGTCCTCATGCTCCATGGTATGACGAGTCCATTCGTCGCTCTAAGACACAGCGGCGCAGAGCAGAACGTCAGTGGCGTAAGACACGCCTGGAAATTCACAGGCAGATATATCAACAGTGCCGAAATGCTACCACCTCTTTAATCATCTCCGCTAAAAGGAAATATTGTCTTCACAGTATACAGAATAGTATGGGTAAACCTGCTTCCCTTTACAGGTTTATGAATAAACTGCTTGGTAAAGGAGGTGATGGTGATAGAGTACCTCCCGGACAAAGTCACATGGAACTCGCAGACTCCTTCAACTCATTTTTCATTTCAAAGATTGATACCATTCGACAAGGACTTTCAGCCAAGGAAGTTGACAGGTGTTTCAGTGAACCTCTCTTTACAGGCGATCCACTAACACAGTTTGCGCCCTTCACCCCCAAGGACATTGAATCAATTATCCGCTCTTCAAAGCCTACCACTTGCGACTCTGACCCCATACCAACTAAACTTCTGTTTCAATATCTTGACTTGTTGCTGCCAAGCATTACCAAAATTGTCAACTCAAGTTTGGAGAGTAGTGTATTTCCATCCAGATTCAAACATGCTGTAGTCAAACCTCTGCTAAAGAAACCTGATCTTGACTCTCAGAATCTTCAGAACTTTCGACCTGTCTCAAATTTATCCTTCATTTCCAAGATAATTGAGAAGGCCGTGCATGTCAGACTCAAAGACCATCTCTCTAAACATCTTCTGCTTGATGAATTCCAGTCAGCGTATCGGCAATACTATAGTACGGAGACTGCCTTACTGCAAGTGACGAATGAGCTTCGTTGTGCTGTCGACGATGGTAGGATTGCTGCTCTAGTGTTGTTGGACCTCTCTGCAGCCTTCGACACAATCGATCACCATAGACTCTTGTCCAGGCTCACACAACAGTACGGACTTGAAGGTCATGCCCTTCAATGGGTGACGTCTTATCTGTCTGACCGACAGCAATCTGTTGTTGTTGGCACTGAGAGATCAAAAGGCACTGTTATCACATGTGGGGTGCCACAGGGATCAGTCCTTGGTCCAGTCTTGTTTGTGTTGTATACCGGATATGTCGGAAGGATAACTACAGACCACACAGTTTCTCATCATGCCTACGCTGATGACACCCAGCTCCTGAAAGCATTTCATCTGTCAGATCTATCTACGTCTCTTCAGTGCATCGCTGAATGTACGCAGGACATCAAGTGCTGGATGACAGGAAACATGCTTAAACTTAATGACGCAAAAAACAGAAGCAGTTCTCATTGGTACAAAGCAACAACTCAGCAAGGTCAAAACCTACACCCTTACAGTCGCAGACTCTGACGTCAGATTCTCTGATGCGGTTAAGGACTTGGGTGTCCACATCGACTCTTCCTTGACTCTGGATGCTCATGTTAACCGTCTGAGCAGGACCTGCTACTTTCACCTAAGATCCATTGGTAACATTCGGCAATACCTGACAACTGCTGCAACTCAAGCCCTTGTTCGAGCTCTTGTTACATCTAGGCTTGATTACTGTAACAGCATCCTTTCGGGCCTCAGTTCTAAACTCCTTGATAAGCTTCAGAAGATCCAAAATACTTCCGCCCGCATCATCAGCAAGACTTCTAAACGTTCCCATATAACACCAGTGTTGAAAGAACTGCATTGGCTACCAGTTAGGGCCAGAATTGACTTTAAGATCCTCTGTCTGACGTACAAGTGCCTCCATGGTTTGGCTCCCCTACTTGTCTGAACTCCTACATCCGTATGTCCCCGCACGCAACTTGCGCTCAAACACACAAAACCGACTGGTCATCCCATCCTACAAACTGAAATCCTTCGGACACCGATCGTTCTCTTACTCCGCGCCTGTGCTCTGGAACTCTCTCCCATGTGCCCTTAAAAGCTCTGCCACAATTGACATTTTAAGTCCAGACTTAAAACCCACCTTTCTCAGTATACTATGTATAACTTCATCTGTAAATACTCCAGTGTAAATATTCTGTAGCGCTTTGAGCATGCCTTAGGGTGTGGAAGGGGCGCATTATAAATATGCATTTATTATTATCATTATCCTTCTTGCAGACTAAAGGGACGCAGCTACAATAAGGGTCACCGCTTCAAGGCATGTCTTGTCTGTGATCCTGGTACAGGTGCCCTTGTTGTGTTTCTAGGCTTGTCAACACTGTAGGCTACTGGTCTGTCTCACAGTACCTGAACCACATTACTTTCCCGACTCTCTAGCCCTCCCTGCATTGCTCATGCCCTAGATGAAGTCTAGATTTCCCCTGGGGCTCCTATTCAATTTACATGCGATTATGTTACTGACGAAATTATGTATATATATTCAGGGACTAAGCAAGCGTTAGTCCGGCACTGTACCAGCGCTCGGGGGTTCAACCAAAGTGGTAAATGTCTGAGACCCGCGTCACACATATTGCAAAATGACCTACACATGCTACAGATAGGCCTATTCATACCTTTGACGCACGCATTATCAGTCAGGGAACGGTGCGGTTTTGAGGCTGTAGAATTTCAGCACTCTCTACAGGGGATGGGGATGTTACCCGGGAAACCGATCTCTTTATTTTGTTTTGTTTTGTTTTTTTGTATGTTGTCCTAAAAGAAAGAAACATTTTGAAAAATCTGCCTTTTTGGAAACATTTTGATTCTTGTTAGTTCTTTTATTACAAACAGAATAAAGGAGAAGGGTGTCTTGCATAAAAATAAAATGTTTAAATGGTCAAGTTCCTCAGAAGGTAATGGTATAGTAAACAATATCACGGAGGTAGTCTTATGACAGCGGGTTTGTTTCAAACACTTTTGGCGCGTCGCGTTTAACTTTAGTACGAAACTACTACTACTCTTCGGGGAAGACAGCTCTGGTTGTTGGAAGCGGCGGTGTTACTGTAAATGCTCACCCAAAACATTTGATCCAAAACAGTCGCACAATTTGCGCATTTCTGTGTGATTGTTTCATCTGTGTCTTATATGGTAAGTAGTTTTTAATAGGTAGACTATCATGCTTGTGCAAGTAAAATGACAGATTGTCTGCATTATATTTTCTCATGGTAATTATGAAAACATGAAACATTTCCTACATGGGGTGCAAACTTGTCACACATTCATGACCACGTTGGGCGACTGAACAATAACATCGGTCACTTTTCAAGCAGATTGTGGGTAGGTAACGTGTTTTAGACAATTGTTACAAACAGGTCGTGCTCACAAACCATCCCTTATCTCTCACAAGCCGCTATTTCATTTGAATAAGCAATCCTGGCACGATAAACACCTGTATACAGACGCTTGCCATCCATAGTCGGGAGTTGCATCATTCTGACTGACACATAAACCTTGTCGGGAAGTACGGTGTTAATTTGCATCGACTAGATCATGGGCACGACCGATAAACCCCATACCTTGTCCTACCATGGGTGGCTATTTCAGGCAGTGTCCAAGTATTGCAGCATCCGAGGCCGGGATTTATAGCGTGGTGATATAAATAGATCGAAGCGACACACGCTGATACACATGTTCATTTCCGTGCTCTATCACTGTCGACGTGAAGGCGTCATTATTCTGACATACTAGTAATTACCTGTGGCAGTTGACACGTAACAGAAAGTTGGTATGCATTTCATATATTTTTTGTTGTTGAAAAGGAGTTATGCAAAATTAACACCTGCGATTTCTCCAGCATATTGTCAGATGATGAAGTTAAATTATGTAATTTACATATGTTTCGACGTAAATGTACTTGCTAAATTGTCATATGTTTGTGCTTGATTAAAGATAAAAGTGAAGACTCTCTTGCAAAATGCAAAACTTTGTTGTGAAACATTTTAATAGTTCTGAATTGTTGTTCATGTTTAGGGAAGATCTATATGGATCACAGGAACATTTCCCCTGTATGGTGGCCAAACTTTGGTTGCTGGCTATCGATAGTCCCTGTTTAGTTTATCATGTTTATATTGTGCTGTTGACTTTACAATTATATTTATGAGTTGTTTTTAACTAGTTTCAAGTCAAATGTGGGGTAATGTAGTTATTGTACTAGCCCACAATGACAGGTATTTATTCAGTCTAAATTACTATTAATCTTCTTGTCATTGTATGGCTGAAACTCTGGCTATTAAAATTTAACTCACTCGCTCACTCACTCATGATACACTTAAGCAGCCATGTATATTTTCAGTAACCTAAACAGCCAAAAAAACACCACGAGTCACTTGGTCATGATGATATATGTACATAGAAGATTTGGGGCACATGTTGACATGAGTACATTTGTCATTATACTACATTGTTCATATCTTTCAGCAGTTGAGGACATACATTATCCAAAATGGATACCAGCTTGACGAGTGCTGAGATCAGGAAGATCTTCATTGACTTCTTTAAGGAGCAGGAGCACACCTATGTCCACTCCTCATCTACCATCCCCCCTCGATGACCCCACACTACTCTTTGCAAATGCTGGAATGAATCAGGTATATTGTCTACATGAATCTATGTTTTGATATTTATCTCACATTTTGTTTAACACATGTCATGATTTATAAGTGACATGATGAAAATATGAGCTATTACAGTAATTCAGTTGGCAACCAGCTGTTTATGGTGAATATATTTGTCAAATGGTTAACACTGGGTTTTTTTTTGTTTTGTTTTTTATCATGGTGGCTTTTTATATCCTGCTGACATGGTTATGGTGCAGAATAAGCAAGTTTCTTGTCATAAAAGTTTGATTCCTTGAAATCCATGCTGGTCGATGAATCAACTTAATGGATTGGATGGACAGATGTGGTTGGTGGCTTGATTGTTACTGTTGGGATGTCGTGGATTAGTATGATTTATTGCTCATAATATCAATCACTGGATTGTCTGGTCTAGAATGTAGTGGGGCGATGGGGAAGTCTGATGGTTAAAGCCTCCGCTTGTCATGCCGAAGACTCGGGTTCGAATCCCCACATGGGCACAATGTGTGGAGCCCATTTCTGGTGTCCCCTGCCGTGATATTGCTGGAATTTTGCTAAAAGCGGTGTAAAACCATACTCACTCACTCACCACTAGAATGTAGTATATACCATGTTTACAGGTCACTATCATACTGTTGGAATATTGCTGTTTGTGACATTAAAACAACAACAGGAAAATAGTGTATCATTACAGTGGTTATGATCTGTGCCGTTGTATTTGAAATATATGGGGTGGTGGGGTAGCCTTGTGGTTAAAGCATTCACTCCTCATGCAGAAAACCCGTGCAGATCCGGGGTAGAATAGGTCTTCAGCAACCCATGCCACAAAAGGCAACTATGCTTGTCGTAAGACTAAGAGGCGACTAACGGGATCGGGTGGTCAGGCTTGCTGACTTGGTTGACACATGTCATCAGTTCCCAATTGCGTAGGTCGATGTTCATGCTGTTGATCACTGGATTGTCTGGTCCAGACTCGATTATTTACAGACCGCCGCCATGTTGTTGGAATATTGCTGAGTGCGGCATAAAACTAAACTCACACACTCACTTACTCATTAATCACAGGGGAACAATGCGGTGTAAAACCATACTCACTCACTCAGTCAAAATACTCAAATGTCATGTCGGTGTGGTGGAGCTTGCCTTGGTTGTACTTGCTGTGTGGTGTAGATTCATTTACAGACAGTCATGAAATGATAGCTGACTGAAACATTAGCAACATTCAGTGTTCTGTCTGTAGACCATGTTAATGTGTACTACTCAAAATAAGTTAAGGACCATCTGATTGTTTCATAATACTATAGTAAATCTGCCCTGATAGATTTACTACATGTATACTACTCACACTTTGCTAAGGATCACAAGAATTCACAACTTTACTTAAACATAGATTTATAATTTGAAATTGTATCCATTTAAGACTGGATAAATACTAATATAGACACCCCCTTTAGGCAAACAGTCAATTTAATCTAACATTATGCACTTGATACACAAGGAACCATGAAAATGGTTTTCAATTTCATGGCACCAATCAACCATTTTGCAAATCATTGAACGAGTCATTGACAAGTACACAACACCTGTCAATAGCAGGTATGGGATCCACAAGATGTAGCGACATACTGAAACCTGGGACCCATGTTTACAATAAGCTTAGATATTTAATTCAAAGTTGACCCCAGATGATAGTTTTCTGTCGAATCCATGATTTGATCCTTAGCAAAGTGTGAATAGCATATATAAGAATTCTTCCCTTTATGTGTATCACTTGTTAATGCAGTTCAAGTTTAACCCCATCAAATATAGAAATATTAAAGAATAAAATGACTTTTCCTCCTTTTCAAAACAAATGGTGCGTCAATGGTGTTTCAGTTCAAGCCCATCTTCCTGGGTAGTGTGGATCCTAACAGTGACATGGCCAAGTTGGTCCGTGCGGCCAACTCACAGAAATGTATCCGTGCCGGAGGGAAACACAACGATCTAGACGATGTGGGAAAAGATGTCTACCATCACACCTTCTTCGAGATGTTGGGCAACTGGTCTTTTGGGGATTACTACAAGGTAGGCCCATATACTGAAAACCTGTGAAGATCCGGGTTAGAATTGGTCTTCAGTAACCAGTAGTTGCCGTAAGAGGTGACTACAGGATCAGGTGGTCAGGCTTGCTGACCTGGTGGACACATGTCATCGTATCCCAGTTGTGTAGATCGATGCTCATGTTATTGATCACTAGATTGTCTGGTCCAGACTTGATGGTTTACAGACCGCCGCCATATAGCTGGAACATTGCTGGGTGCGGCGTTAAACAACAAACAAACCAACCATATACTGAACCTCTCCTTCACCGAAGATCACTGTAAGGACTTCTATAACCGATACTTGTCGTAAGAGGCATCTAACAGGACGGTCAGGCTCGCTGATGTAGTTGATGTAGACATCGTTAACTTATTTTATTTTTCATATTATTTCAAAGAATTTAAAACTTTTATCTCATTATCAACTGCTGTTCATTTGGTTCATGAAACTGTCTGAGAAAATAGTTAGATTACCTTTATAAATAAAGCCTTGAGTGATAGAAACCCCAGGTCTTAATAAACTTGTTTTTGTCTGTACAGAAAGAGGTGTGTGCCTGGGCATGGGAACTGTTGACGGAGAGACTGAAGCTTGAGAAGGACAGACTATATGTGTCCTACTTCGGAGGGTACGAGGCTGGGGGACTAGAACCGGACAACGAGGCCAGGGACATCTGGATCAACCTGGGCGTTTCCCCGGATCGTGTGCTGCCCTTCGACATGAGTGACAACTTCTGGGAGATGGGGGAGACCGGGCCGTGTGGGCCATGCTCCGAGATCCATTACGACAGAATTGGCAACCGTGATGCTAAGCATCTTGTCAATATGGATGATCCTGATGTGTTGGAGATATGGAATCTTGTGTTTATCCAGTACAACAGGTAACCATAGTAACCTGATGTTTTAAATGCTCGTAATAAAGTCTGTCATGTTATTATTAGACCATTGTAACATTTGACAGGTAGGCTTGTACAGACACGTGGAAGAATATTATGAAGAATAATATCCCTTGACTCACAAGTGACTCTGTTCCTGCGATAAAGGTGAAATTTATGTTTTCTAGTTTGTATAAACAACTATAGTCTTTCACTAATGTAAGTTTAATGCAATTCCTTTCTTTCAGGGAGTCTAAGACAGAGTTACGTCCCCTGCCCCGGAAGCACATTGACTGCGGGATGGGTCTGGAGAGATTGGTGTCGGTGATCCAGAGGAAGAGCTCCAATTATGACACTGATGTGTTCATGCCATTGTTTGATGCCATTCAGAAGGTACTGGCTAACATGCTGCCAGGCTTGTGGGGATTTCAAATATAGAATCTGTTATCAGTAATGTGTACTTGTTGTAACAGGCAGGATTGTGGGTAGGCTTTGTGACATGGTTGATTTTATGTCGTCATATTGGTCTGGGTCTTGGCTCATAATGTCAATCACTGGCTTGTCTGGTCATGATGTGATTATTTACAGACAGGCATTATACAGCTGAAATATTGCCGGTGTGTTACTAAACAAAAAATGGTGTAATAGTGTAATACTTTGAAGCGTAAAATATGACAAGCAGAAGCTGCAGTATTCTTGTGAAAAGATCTTGAACACGTTTCATATTTGAAACCTTTTTTGAAAATCTTCGAAAATTAAATCATTCATAATCACTAAATACTGTATATCACTGTTTGTAAAGTGACCCCAAATATAAGGCGATCCCCTTGTAAAACCCTTTTGCAATATACTGTAACTGCAAATAATTCAATAATTCAAAACTGGTAACAAATATTCACCTACTCTTTCACCATTCAACTGTTTTAAACCAGATCAGGGTTGCTGACGTGTTTATGTGACTGCTTCCAGGCCACAGGTTCTCGGCCGTACTCAGGGAAGGTGGGCAAGGAGGACGTCGATGGTGTTGACATGGCTTACAGGGTGATGGCAGACCATGCTCGTACCCTCACAGTGGCCCTGTCTGACGGCGGACGCCCTGACAACACAGGAAGAGGGTAAGCAGGAAGTTCAACACTTATCAATGAGAAAAACACTTCAGAATCAATGAGACCATTTTCCATTTTTACTAGTTTTATTGAGTGTGAACAATTCTAGTTATACAAAACGTACCACTTAAATAACACATATCACTGTTGGATACTGAATAAGATGAACCACAAGTTCAGCACTCTCAGTATTACCTTATGAACTAGGTGCATTGCGATTGTACACAGTGACCTTAGCACTAAGGTGACCGTAACTCCCATACCTTAACATAGACTTAAGGTAGTCTTAGCTCTAAGGTGACCGTAACTCCCATACCTTAACATAAACTTAAGGTAGTCTTAGCGCTAAGGTGACCGTAACTCCCATACCTTAACATAGACTTAAGGTAGTCTTAACGCTAAGGTGACCGTAACTCCCATACCTTAACATAGACTTAATTTAGTCTTAGCTCCAAGGTGACCGTAACTCCCATACCTTTACATAGACTTAAGGTAGTCTTAGCGCTAAGGTGACCGTAACTCCCATACCTTAACATAGACTTAAGGTAGCCTTAGCGCTAAGGTGACCATAACTCCCATACCTTGACATAGACTTAAGGTAGTCTTAACGCTAAGGTGACCGTAACTCCCATACCTTGACATAGACTTAAGGTAGTCTTAGCGCTAAGGTGACCGTAACTCCCATACTTTTAACAAAGACTTAAGGTAGTCTTAGCGCTAAGGTGACCGTAACTCCCATACCTTAACATAGACTTAATTTAGTCTTAGCGCTAAGGTGACCGTAACTCCCATACCTTAACATAGACTTAACGTAGTCTTAGCGCTAAGGTGACCGTAACTCCCATACTTTAACATAGACGTAATGTAGCCTTAGCGCTAAGGTGACCATAACTCCCATACCTTAACATAGACTTAAGGTAGTCTTAACGCTAAGGTTGTTTTGTACAATGGCACCCAGGATGATACTTTTTCCACAGGAATTTGATAAGTCATTTATAACAAGTCACTGAAAAGTATGTGAAAATAGGATGGATGTTACTATTTACAGACAGTATTTTGTGATGAGGCACAAACCAATTTCCGTCACTAAAACCTGATTATGCTACGTCTTTCAGGTATGTTTTGAGACGTGTACTGAGAAGAGCTGTACGTTACGGCACAGAAAAGCTGAACGGAAAGCCAGGGATGTTTGCTTCGCTGGTGGACACAGTTGTCCAACTACTGGTAATGTTGCCGTATTTCAGCATCAATATAAGAAACCATGTTACAAATTCAATGTCCGTTTTCATCCTCACTTTGTGCTTTCCTCTGACAAGAGTCTGGCACTGAAACGCTGTGAGGAGTGATGTTAAACTAGCTCGTGTTCACTAGACTCATGTGCCATGCTCTTGCAGGTAACGGAGTAACACGAGGACAGTCAGTATACTATGGCTGAATGGGATACGCATGATATCTCAGTGGGCTAGCACAATAAAACAGGCACTAGTCTGGATTAGGTCAAGTAGCGACACATACATCTATATGTGACTAAATTCATCATGTATGTGCAAAATCTCGACCGTGATGTTAAACCCACCATTGCTCACCCATCACCTGATCTCATGGTTTAGTCATGGAGCCGTCTGGTACTCCTGGTCTTTCAGTGCTGTATATCCTTCCAAATACTGACTGTTCTAGATTAATCCGATATACAATGCATTGTTTTCTGCACATTATTCAAACCAAATGACTGTGTTAATGTCGATACCTTGGCAATATTTACAGTGCATTTTTCTTTCCTATTGTCAATAGGGTGGTGCATTCCCGGAGGTCACCAAGGACCCTGAAACTGTAAGTATACGGAAATGGACCTTCTGTCTGTTGTATGGTAGACTGGACAAAATACATTTGATGATGTCTAGGTAGCCAGAATTAAACACAAAGGAGATAAACTGAAATAGTCATGTCTGTCAGATTAGTGACAAATAGGTGACAGACTTTGCCAACTGGCCATCACAAAAGTAACAGCCAACTGGAACTGATCGTGTTTTGGATAGCCTGATGGAGAAGGTATTTCCTCATTGGAAATGTGGGGTAGCCTTGTGGTTAAGGTGTTTTCTAGCCAACCTGAAGACCTGGGTTCAGTTTCCCATATGGGCACAATGTGTGAAGCCCATTTCTGGTTTCCCCTGCCGTGATATTGCTGGAATATTGGTGAAAGTGGGGTAAAACAATACTTACTCGCTCACTAGAAATATACTCATCATACTCATGTGGGAAATGTCCCCCTGAGGGCTAGGTGAGACTTCCCTGTAGATGTATGTGTACATTTCCAGTGTCCCCTAAAGTGTTATCACTGAAATGTTTCTATTGATGACATAAAACCATACTCCCACCATTCAGTTATGATCAGAATCTGATACAGCGGTCAACAGAATCCCTGTGAATAAGTTGATCTAGCATTAAGAGGAATTCCCATTATGATAAAGAATTATTTTCACATGAATAAATGAGCAAAGTATAGGATGCTTTTACTTTTAGAGCTGTATAATTGTGTTTGTGACAAGCTGACTCATCAATGCTGATTGCATTGTCCAGGTGAAGGAGATCATTAACGAGGAGGAGGCCCAGTTTCTGAAGACGTTGTCTCGTGGACACAGGCTCATGGAGAGGACAATCGGGAAGCTGGGGGACACAAATGTCTTACCAGGTATGTGGGGTCATTGTCTCTCTGTCATCCTCCATAGTCCTGGCTTACCTTTACTGGATGGATGAATGGTGGGAGTGTGGATGAATGGTGGGTGGGTGGATGGTGGGTGTGTGGATGGATGGATGGTGGGTGGATGGTGGGTGTGTGGATGGATGGATGGTGGGTGGATGAATGGTGGGTGTGTGGATGGATGGATGGTGGGTGGATGGTGGGTGTGTGGATGGATGGATGGTGGGTGGATGAATGGTGGGTGTGTGGATGGATGGATGGTGGGTGGATGGTGGGTGTGTGGATGGATGGATGGTGGGTGGATGAATGGTGGGTGGATGGATGGATGGTGGGTGGATGAATGGTGGGTGTGTGGATGGATGGTGGGTGATGAATGGTGGGTGGGTGGATGGATGAATGGTGGATGGATGGATGGATGGTGGGTGGATGGATGGATGGTGTGTATGTGGATGGATGGTGGTTGGATAAATGGTGGGTGTGTGGATTGATGGTGGGTGGATGGATGGGTGGTGGGTGGATGAATGGTGGGTGTGTGTGTGTGATGGATGGATGGTGGATGGGTGGATGGTGTGGGTGTGGATGAATGGTGGTCGGGTGGATGGATGGTGGGGGTGGATGGATGGATGGATGGATGGATCATGGATGGATGATGGATGGTGGGTGGGTGGATGGATGGTGGGTGAGTGAATCGATGAATGGTGGGTGGATGAATGGTGGGTGGGTGGGTGGATGAATGGATAATGGTGGGTGTGTGTGTGGATGGATGGATGGTGGATGGAGTGGATGGTGTGGGTGTGGCTGAATGGTGGGGGGATGGATGGTGGGTGGGTGAGTAGTATACACAATGGATGGATGGTGGTGAAATTGGATGGATGGATGGTGGGTGTGTGTGGATGGATGGTGGGTGTGTGGATGGATGATGGATGGTGGGTGGGTGAATGAATGGATAGTGTGTGGATGGATGGTGGGTGGGTGGATGGTGTGGGTGTGGATGGATGGTGGTGGGTGGGTGGATGTATCGTGGGTGGGTGAGTAGTATACACAATGGATGGTGGGTGTGTTGATGGATGGTGGGTGGGTGAGTGGATGGATGGATGGATGCTTAAGATGTTAGTCACTAGATTGCCTGATTCTTACGTGACAAACATCTACAATATTGCTGATGCAGCATAAAGCAACACACTCACTCACTTGTCGTATGACGCGATCAGGTTATTATATCCCAATTGTGAATATATTAACAATTATGTCAATCACTGGATTGTCAGGTCCAGATTTGATTATTTAGAGACTGCCATCATACAGCTGGACTAAAGCAATAAACAAACAAAATTGAAATTTTCCAATACTTGGCTAATGGATTAGGTCTCAGACTGGGAATAGTGGATACTCTTCCTTGAAACCTCTCACTCTTTATACTTAGCTAAATTCACTTAAAAGTAGAACTAATAATTCCATACATTCACATAACTGACAGCTTGTTCACTGTTAAGAAACCACATATATCCAAATGACCTTGACGTTTCAGGTGACGTTGCGTGGCGACTGTATGACACGTATGGCTTCCCGGTGGATCTCACCTGTCTCATGGCGGAGGAAAAGGGGCTGTCTATTGACATGAAGGCCTTCGATGAGGCCAAACAGCATTCTCTGGTGTGTTTTCTGCTTCCCATACTTGTATAGTGGTTCTGTATAGATTGTTGGATAAAATGTGACAACTGTCTTTACCGTCCCTCCTAGGATTTTGGGTTTAAATAGGTCCTGTACAATCTGCCCTTGTCTCAGGAAGTCACAATATGAATGGGTAATACGAAAAAAAACAAAACAAGGATAATGCTGAATTTTTATTATATTCAGATCTTTAACAGTCTGAAACCAAAACAAAAGTTCTTTATCCAGGAAAACTTTCATTTGGTTTTGGCAAAGGGAGATCATTCTCATTATATAATGTGTGAATCCCATTTCTGGTGTCCCCCGCTGTGATATTGCTGGAATATTAATAAAAGTGGCATAAAACTAAAGTCACTCACTCACTCATTATATAATGGACCGTTATGTTTGAAAGTTCAGTTAATATAATATGGAAGAAATAAGCGATTTGATAATGAGTGAAAGTTAGTTTCAAGACTTGCCGTACTAATACAATAGGATCAGTAACTCCTCAATACAAATATCAGGTTAAATCATTTGTACTTGAAGGTCATGTCTCAAGGCACTGGTAGTGCAGTGGCTGAACAGATCAATTTGGACGTCCACGCACTAACCGACTTACAGAACAGGGGGGTGTCCCCAACTGACGACTCCCCCAAGTATGCCTACACCGCTGATGTTGGCGGCACCTACAGTAAGTGTTGAGGAAGCTGCTGCACATCAGACACCACAGGTGTCTACTGTCATGCTGATGTTACTAATGAGGAATGGGCAGTCACTCTGTGCTAAATCGACATCAAAACAACCTGATTACTACAGATAGTTTAATCAAGTACTACATGTTTAATTAGTACTACAGGCATGTTCAGATTCAGAGGCAGAAAATGTCCAGTGCCCCATCCTTGTTCAATATGTTACGACTGGTGTCATATGTAGTTGAAGGGAACCCCCATTATCCTATCATCGTCTCATCTAATTCTTCATTTACTTATAAATAACCATGTATGGAGATCAGCATATCTTTGATTTGTATAGCATGGCTGACAGTTGTCTTTGGCACTGGAGTTTGCTGTGCAGAGTCGTGTCCCTTTGGTAGGCTAGAAACTTATGATCCAAGGCTCAATCCTAGCGCCAAGTCGGCACCAGCACTGGTCTCATGCTCCAAAAACCCTCTTTGTCTTTCGACAAGTTCTCATGCCGTCATAAGACTGAAATATTTAAAGCTGCAACTCTAACTCACTTAAGTACATACATGAAGTAGTCCCATTATCTGTTTCCTACATGGCTCCCTTCACCTTGATGATGGTGTTTGTGTAATTCAGAGTTCGAGCCAGCTACTGCCAAGGTGATAGGTCTCCGGTACAACAAGGGGTTCGTGCAGGAAGTGACGACAGGGCAGGAATGTGGTGTCCTCCTGGACAAAACTAGCTTCTATGCTGAGCAAGGTGGACAGATTTACGATGAAGGATTCATCGTGAAGGCAGATGATGAGGTAGATACAAGTAAATGTAAACACATCATTTGTTTAGGACACACCTAAGTTAGTATTTCTATGTACAAATTGTATGGATTGTGATTGAAGGACCAAAGCTGATAGAGGTGTCAGTAATAGAGTAATGACACTAGGGCTGGGACGGATACTCGGGTACTCGAATCCGGGTCGGGTACAGCTGGAATCGAGTCCTATTTCAAGGAATCGAGTACCCGGAAAGGGAGAGAACTCAGTAATGACAAGGGCAGGTAACTCTAACCTAGAGCAATAGAGCAATATGGACGACACGCATGCTAAGTTGAGTGTTTGGGCTCATTTTGAGCTTGATGCAAATGGCAAGAGAACAAAATGCCGACTCTGTGGTATCATGTCTGAAATTGATAGTACAGTCTGCTTATGGTTTTGAGATTTATCAATGTTAGACCCTGCAAGTGAATTCTACTGAAGTGGTGAAGGTGTGGGACTTATGCGCTACTCCTGGGCTTCATCCTTATGAAGCTGACACGCCAAGATCAGGATATACTTAATCTCATAATTTAACACAGTTACAAATTTGAAGACCCATGCGGTTTTTCAATCTAATAGGTCAATCTACTGCGGAAGCTGTACAAGGTCAATGCAAAACATCTTGCACTAAAACACAACCTAAACAATAAACGTGTTCATTACATTGTGTATTTGTGTCCATTGCTTATCAAGCTTTTAAGATTACATGTACATTTCTATTTTATTTCAATTTCATGAAACACAGTTTTTACATTTGCGTTTAACATGAATACATTGACTATTAAAGAGATTGCAATTAAATGATTGTATGTGTTGGGAATATCAATTAAAACTAAGGAATTAACATTCTGATTTGCAAATACAATGTTCGACTGGTTATCATTACAATAAGAAGGAAGATGATCAGAAATAGAAGCAGAACTCACGTAACATATACATTTTATAGTTTAACAAATAATCAGCATACAGTTATTCCAATGAAGATAGATACAATTTTAGAATATCGATTTAACAATAGGTTTGTTTTCATTTAATAGGGAAACTGTAATGCAACTGAGTTGGCGCAACAACAGAGCAAAATGACCAGTCTTCCCAGATCTTGAGCCAAGCATTTTGCTATATTGCTTAACTCAGTTGCATTAGAGTTTGCCTGTCTGTATATCTCGTACAGAATTCTCCGGTCAGTAAATTCATCAATCAAATTGTATTCTATGCAAGTTTACATAAAGTCTGCATGTAAAACATTATATGTTCAGTTAGAATATCACACATGAACGTAGTTGTCTACTGGCTGAATGAATTACTGGTCTTTTTCATTATTAACGTAACACACATTTTTGGCATTGTCCAGTTAATGGAGGTTATTATCAACGACGGTAATTTATCTGCGCATAAGCAGTGAGTAGTCAAATCACAGTAACAGCGGGAATGAAAACTTCTGTGTTTTAACATATGTTCTGTGTTTTAAGTAACAATGTAAGTAATGGTGTTACTCTTTATATTAGTTATAAACAGACGTAAATCAAATAGCCTAAGATCAGTTTCAATGTCTCATTGCCATCCTTTGAGGTTTTGTCAAATCGTGATTGAATATTCAGAAAGTTGACTGAAGCTATGTATTCCTTACATTTGCGGGTACTCGATTCCGATTCGGGTAAGTACATGCGGGTACTCGATTCCAATTTTTCCTACCCGTCCCAGCCCTAAATGACACAAGCATGTTTTGCTTCAGTGTCATATGTTTGGTTACATTTACCTAGCAGACATGCACTTGCACACACAGCAGCACTCTCCTCAGACAAACATCCAACAGCCCTTCCACATGCAGACTATGTCACCTCTGTCAGTGATACAATAACACAAACATTATCAAGTAAATGAGCTAACAACACAAACATGTTCACTCGCTTGAATGAAGTCTTGCTTTCAGGAGAGCTAGGTATTTTCTCTCAAACTGACATTACCAGATAACAAATCTTTCATCCAGACTAACATAATTCCATCTATATCTCAGATTTTTAGAGCTAACGTTTAGAGGATATACATATGTGGAGTAAAGATATACAGACAGGATATACATAGAAAGAGATTTGCTGATTACAGCTATAATCAAAACCAAACATGTTTGTGTGCTCCCCAGGATGTGGAGTTCCGCGTGAAGAACGTGCAGGTGCGGGGCGGCTACGTGTTGCACATAGGAACCATTGAAGGAGCACTCAGAGTTGGGGATGCTGTCAAACTTTCCATAGATGAAGTATGTATGATGTGTTTCTGGTATCTATTTGCTATTATAAACAGGTTCAACGAGACAACATAAACTTGTAGTACATGTGATAGCATGAATAATGAAGAAGGAGAAGAATAACTTCTTTATCCGTTTATCTTGTTCTTCCTCATATGTCTGGTTTTTCCTGAGTACTCCAACTATTAAAAGGCTCAATTTCATGTTTCATGTTTCAATTATCTATTAGCTAAGGTTATATTTGCCTTAAAGGTGGAGCAGATATCTTCCTTTACATTTCTAAGACAAAACTACATCCAACGATGAAGCAGATACTAACCAGTGAGTTTGCTATTCCAGGATCGGCGGTGTGCAGTCATGAAGAACCATACGGGTACCCACATGCTGAACTTCGGTCTGCGCACTGTCCTGAAGGAAGCAGACCAGCGTGGCTCCCTTGTAGCTCCAGACAGGCTCCGCTTTGATTTCACTGCCAAGGTCAGTACGACATTAATTAGTTGTGATTTACTGTTACATGTTCATTTGGATTGCAGTAGGCTTTTCACAACTTATGAGGTAAGGAGTGACCAGAGAGTGAAACAGTTTACATTTTGTTCAGTTTGTAGAGCTATTATGGGACTAGGCAGACCTCTGTATCATGATAGTCATAAATGAATATTGAAATGGTTCAGACGAGTAAATCATGCTTATGCAAATAATCTCCTTGTGTAGCCGAATCTTGATAATATACAATCCACCATGATCTACTTTTACAGACCTTGAATATTGTGATACAAAACAACAATTTTCTTAGTCACATGACTGGTACTGATTGGTTGTTTCATTGCCATGGTAACTGCTGGTTTACCTACTCCACTGCAACACTAACTTCCTGTAATGTCTCTAGGGTGCCATGGCAGTGGGAGAGGTGAAGAGTGTGGAGGAAGAGGTTAACAAGATGGCTGCCAAGAATGAAGAGGTCTATGCAAAAGAGGCAAGTCTGGCTGACGCAAAGTCCATCCAGGGTCTCCACGCTGTGTTTGATGAGGTGAGAAACTGAAGAAGGCCATAAATAATTCCGGAGCCATTGATTGTACAGTGGTCTGAGGTGCCACTATTTGTGTTGTGCCTTTAATCAAGCAAGAAACTGATGGTCGTTATGGGTTCAAGTGCCAGATATGTCAGGAATGGACAGTGACCTTACACTCTGTGATATGACTGAAGTATTGTTCAACTTTTTATTAGAGGCATCCAGGTACTGGTCAATTGTCATCCAAAGCAAGCCTGATTCAAGCTGAACTAACATGACATTATACAAGTTGTGACTAAAATATATCAGTTGCCAAGACCCAAAACACGGTTCACTACATCCGTACGTTTGTTACAAGCATGTTTGTCGTTATCGTAGTTTACTGTGTCTCACGTTTGTCGTTATCGTAGTTTACTGTGTCTCATGTTTGGTTGTTTTGTATTGCCCTAGAACAGTGTTCAGCTGTCGGTTGTCTGTTTGAAGGTGTACCCGGACCCCGTCAGGATCCTGTCTGTGGGGATCCCTGTGGAGGACCTTATTGCTGACCCCATGGGACCTGGTGCCTCCGTCACATCAGTCGAGTTCTGTGGTGGAACGTAAGAAATTTACAGTACTTCTTTACACTTAAACTGCACCTGTGTGTTCAGCTTGGTCACATGGTAAATATGTTGTAGTTTCAATGGCAAGGAGTGGGTGATTTTGGCAACTAGTGCAATTTGACAGTAAATATCAGTTGCTGATACTACTCCTGATTTGGGGCTGTCTGGGTTTGTTCGGTAGGAAATGTCTGCATTACCCGTGCTGGTTACCATGGTTACAACTTCTGCTGGGTTTGTGTAGTCCTGGGGTTGATGACCCCTGAGCTATGTTCATCATGGTGGCCTCTATACTAAGGTTGTTATGATGACCACATAACTGGCTTGGATATAGTTGTTCTACAAACCCATTGCCACAATTACTAGTGGTGGTAAGTAGGTAAGGAGTATGTATTATGCCCCTTTGCAATATTCAAGCTGATGATGCTGACACCTGAAAAGGGCTTCCCATTTTGTACAAATGTGAGGAATCAAACCCATTCGTTCAGCATGATGAGTGGACAATGTAACCACTGTGCTACTCCAGCAGCAGGGGGAATCATAGAAACCATCAGTATTGAGTTCAACATTTGAAAGCGGCTTTGAGGTATATTTTAAAACTTGCCTGCCACTACAATTCACACATTCATTGTCACATGATCAACAGTTGCTTAGATGTCTCTGAGAGTTGCTTCTGGTTTTCTTACACCCAACTGTCCTCTGTCCAGGCATCTACGGAGAGCCGGTCATGTTGGTCAGTTTGTCATACAGACGGAGGAGGCCATCGCTAAGGGAATCAGGAGGATCATTGCTCTCACAGGAACAGAGGCCGCCAAGGTGAGGGTCGCAGTGGCCATCTTGGTTTCATTGCCCTGATAAGTTTGTGATTTGATTATGTTTGTGAGAGCAGTGATTTATTAATAGTTTCTGGTTTAATTGTAAGTTGATATTCTAGTGATATGGGTGTACAAATCTGAAAAATAAGGCATTTTTAACCTTTTCATATGGAAAAAAATATGAAGTGTTGTGTTCAGAAAGTTGAAAATTGCCTTCAGGAAAGCCATAATTTAGTAGGATAGATTGCAAGAAGTAAAACATGTGCAATGTACATACTGTTAGAATCTAGTCAATTTAAAAAGGGGCATTGTTGTGCTGTACATACCAAAACAAATTGTTCAATGTGGAGCTTAACCCAGATAGCATTCAGACGGGGCCAACGTCAGAATGCTAACTGTGTTCATGTTGTGTACAGTTTTTTCCAGATTATTGGAGTGAGTGGAATTGTTTGAGGGTAACTGTATTGATGGTTGTAGGTGACTCTGTTGGTGATGGTTTCAGGCAATACACAGGTGTGGGGTTCTGGAGAAGTCACTTGCCGAGCTGAAGGACAAGGTGGAACGCAACCCCACTACACAGGAGGTGACCAACAGAGAACTCAGCTCCCTCATCGTACAGCTGGATAATGTATGTACTGACAAATCTCCTACATTATACACCAACGTAACACACAGTACTGGCTCTTCGAGAAGGTAGACTTACATCACACAGAACTTTGTTTTCTGTATGCAGTCGAGATACACTGCCAGTGCCCAATGCTAGCTAAAGGATGCCTCCTGATTGATCATGGGTTATCTCCCCTGAATGTCATGGACTTTCATACCATCGACCACCTAATCTTCATACACAGACTTGATTATTTTTAGCCATTCTGGAATGGCCACTGACCATGTGATATATTCTGGCACTGATTGCATAGGAAAATCTTTTCTGCTATTATGCTGATAGTGGATAATCTGATTATTGGATTCCTTGTTGCACACATACAAAAGGAAGCTACCGAGTTTACAGAGTTACATACCTTTGCCATCATGCCAGGATCTGCTTGTCATGACCTTGTCTGACTCTTACACTTGCATTCTCAAATACAACTTAGAGTGGGATTAATCCTGAACTGTTGAACCCTTGACAGGAAGTGGCACAGTCCGGTATCTCCTACTGGAAGCGGGACAGTCTGAGGTCGGAGTTGAAGGGACTCAAGAAGCAGATGGACGACCTTGACAAGGCCAGGAAAGCTGCTGTGATGACCGAGGTGAGAGACTGTCAGAACAATGATGTAATTTAAGAATTGTTGGATGTGACAATACACATAATCACACACATTACTGAACGTCCTGCTTGTTTGATACAAAGTATAGTGGTTTGATGGTGTGTATTATTGGGCGATGTTCTTGGTGTTCTTTGTGATACCTGTTGAGAACAGTGTCACGGAGTTACTGAGCCTGTTTTGTTCTTCCTGTAGGTTGTGGAACAAGCGAAGAAGATGATTGAAACCAACCCAAACATCAAATATATCGTCCATGAATTCAAGGCAGGATCTAATGCTAAGGTCAGTTCAGTGTGCGAAATAGTTTCCAAATTTTGCTAGCCAGGCAGGCTAGCTGTGCCTGATTGTTACTAGCCCACAAAATAATTCACTAGCCCGAACTTTGAATATAGAAACTAAGCAATAGTTTACACAAAGGTAAAATACCATGAAAATTCACCAGCCAGTCGGACTTTTTTTTTGCTGGATTTTTACTAGCCACAGGCTAGCAGGCCAGTGGCTATTTGGCACTGGAGTCATTAGAGTCAATTCTTAGTTCTTGTAACAATTGACACATGGGTACAATGTGTGAAGCCCATTTCTGGTGTCCCGGTCGTGATATTCCTGGAATATTGCTAAAAGTGATATTCCTGGAATATTGCTAAATCTGCGGCGTAAAACCATACTCACTCACTGTAACAAGTGAATAATAATAAGATAAAGATCTGCAGACATCCCATCCTAGTCACTATCAACTTTTCATACAACCATACAGTACCTCCATTCAATCTCTGCCACCTATGAACACCATGCAGTACCTCCATGCAGTACCTTACAACATATTCAGTAACCTGAATGTTGAGTTGCCTGATGTCGTAATGTGTCCACCATGTTGTGTCAGGCCCTTGATGCTGCCATGAAACAGTACAAAGCTTCAAGTCCAGAGACTGCCGCCATGTTTTTCTCCACGGATGAGGAGTCTGGCAAGATCCTGTGTATGTCGTGTGTTCCCAAGGTATGTGTGCCTGCTGAAAGGAGGGGTCACTGGGGAAACGGAGGAGTGCATTTGTGATTTGGCTATTCACATTAAGTAATAGTGTAATTGTGTTGAACATATGACTTCATGAATTTTTCATAAACTTGATTCATGGAAACATTTTGTGTAACCTATCAGCTTAAAATAATTTCAGTGTTTAAATGTATATCAGCCTCAGCGGTTGACCAGGTAATGAGTGAGTGAGTGCTTTCATGTAAACAACAATAATCAAGCTTGGATCAGTCAATCAGTTCTGAACACTATCGTCAGGTCCTATATGAACAATCACAGTCATGAAGCCTCACTAAGTATTCCACTTTAGAGGCTTCCCATGACAGACAGTCACCAGGATACTGTCACATTCCAGTTATACCCTAGTTACAGTAGTAGCCGGAAATAATAGAAAAAATATCAAAACTGAAAGATCAGAACATATTTAAAGGTGATAGTGGTTAGAACAAAGTTTCCTGGATCGGAAGGTTCAATCATGTTTGGATCTCCGACCGCATCATACCAAATTTAATGACTTTAAAATATGGTACTTGTTGGTCCCTGCCTGGCGCTCAGCATTAATGGGTACAACAAGGACTGGTCGGCTCAGAGTCAGTATAATGTGTCTGAGTGGGGTATTCATGCTTCACTGCGGCATAGTATCTCAGTGGCCCTCCAATATAAAACCAGCTTCAGTCGCTACACACACATGCATGTCGTCATATGAGCGAAATATTCTCCAGCACGATGTTAAACCCAATTTCACCTCACCTCACCTGAAAGATAAGATGTTCTTTCTGGCTATGGTGAACATATAAGGTAATCCTGAGTTAATCAGGTATAATCGATGTGCTGTTAAATTCAGTAACTTCAGAGTTCACAAAATCTGTCTTCAGAAATATAATGCTCATTTTGGAACCTGTATTCAAATACACCAAAGTCAGTAATTTCAGATTTCTCAAAATCTGTCTTCATTTTACTTTTACAACCAGTCTACAAATATACCAAATATTTCTTCACAGGATGTTGCATCAAATGGCCTGACCGCTAAGGCGTGGGTTGACCACGTAGTCCCCACTATCAAGGGGAAAGGTGGTGGCAAAGACGTGTCCGCACAAGCCACTGGATCGAACGTCGATGGACTTCAGGAAGCCTTGAAACTGGCAACAGAATTCGCGCAGGTGAAACTCTCTTGAAGAGGAAGGACCATGATGCAGTCTGCTCAAGTGCTTTTTTATCTGCACACTACGCAAATGTTTAACTGAACACCTCATTCATCGTGCTTACAGAACACTGACACCCTTCAACTGCGGTTAAAACACTGAAGTTTTCTTTTCACTCTGTTATTAAAGATATTTTACTAAGTGATGTTTCCTATACAACAAATGTAGATTTTTATAGCAAACTGAAACCAACTGGACTTTCTGTGCTCTGTGAGGAAAAGAATGTGTTCATGTGTACTCACCGACTTCTGATATTCAGGAAGTGTGTGAAGTGATTCTTGCCCAACACTGATGTCCAGATCTGACCTCTGATCCTGGTTTACAGTGACATCTTGTGGCTGAAGGTGTCACTGGTTATTTACCAAGTAAATTTGTATCTAAACCTGTTATGATCTCTGTTTTCAGGACTTTTAGAATATTTCCTTGCATACTACATGCAATAAGAACACTTGTGTATTGATTGTCTCTAGCTAGAAGACATTTTCTTTGGTTGTAGAATTTAGCAGTTAGCAATATTCAACACTGCATTATTGTGTAAGCCTTTCTTTGATTTATTTATCATCTGATATGATGAGGAACAATGGTGATACTAACAATGAATATATACAGGTAGCTGCTGTAGACTAGCTTGTAGGTTTTAGCGTTTTGTCTGTTACCAGCGTCCGTGTGAACAGGTTAAGTGATGTACACACATCTCAGTTTCTGATGTTGACTGATACATATAGATGATGGGCATAGAGATGATCTAAGGTGACACAAATACCCTTGTAGAGTTGTCTCCCTTTGATGTGCAAGGCTCTACTGATCATGGGTTTAAATCCCAGATCTCTGGTTTGTCAACACTGTATCTTAAAAAACTGACAGTGGTGTTACATTTAACTCCAGGGTCACACTTATGTGCATGTCAATGCTTGTTAGTAAACAGTTAAGTAACCATGGCAACATTACTTGATTTGTTAGTTGCATGATGATGTAAACCTTAGATCTTTCATGTGGCAGGAGATGTGTCAATATTTTGTTGTACGCAAGACATGCTGTCTGGGGACAACTGATGACAATAAGGAAACTGTCAATCACTTGTTAAAACGTACAAGTATGCCTGCATGAGTGCTGTGTCTTTGGGACTCGGCCTTGACACCTTGCTCCTCTACTGTTGTGTACTACTCAACATTTCCTACAAACCATCAGGGTCATCTTTAAAGTTGTGGTCCTTAGCAAACATTAGGTCCTATAGGTATCCGTTTAAAATACCTTGTAAATGCAATCTTGATGTTTTCTCGAATCAGCTAATGGCATTTCTTGACTTCAATAACCAATCGTTGTGTACTGTTTTCTGATGTCACGGGTTTAGATTGATTTCCTTACTTGTGGATCAAGTGTACCCCACCTGGACCACTGGGTCAGAGGGCATACTCGACTCACATAGAGAGCCATCTGTTGGGTCAGTGATGACTAGAAAATTTCAGTTATCTCCCCTTTCAGCTTTTGGTGTTTGAATCATTCCGTTCTCCACATGATTTCTTTCCTCCCACTTCGTCACAAACCGATTTACAATATGGATGTCTGTCATGAATGTTTGCATGATTTGGAGATTTTCGAGAAGCAAGATGTATCTGACATTTCCCCCAAATCCACCTGTACAGGATATAAGCTGAAATATGAATGTTTTGTTATGAAAAGTAACTCCCTGACTTGTGTTTGTATTTCTTTGAGCACAGGGTGAGAGATTCGCATTCAAAGTCCTGTCTGACTGCAAGACAGCTCAGAGTGTCAGATTTTGCTCATAAATATCAAAATGTGGTTTTCTGTCAAAGATTGTTACTGATTTCAGCTCGGTCACAGTAGATATATCATAAAGCTGTTTAACCATGTTAATAGCTCCTCAAATATTTTCATTCATTTTTGAAGTTAACAATTCTTTCAAAAGCTTTGATCTATTTGCCTTTTTTATTTGTAGAGACTTCACATATACTGAACATTAGAAACACACCACACTAAAATGCAATGACAATGCTCAGATATCATGGGTACATTGCAGTCTGACGGAGGTATTTCGTATTATGTGGGTGGTGCGTTTCTAATGTTGTTCAGTATATATTTTTCTGTTTTCGATGAGTACGTCGGAAATTCTTGAAATCTGGAGATTAATAATGCGGGTTTAAACCAATGCTTATTTATGAAACAGATTTGAAAAGGTGAGTGTCAGAGCTGTAGTATTCTGAACTGGTCCCAGTAGTGGACAATCCCACACCCACCTTGATCATCACTTGGTGTTAAGGTTTGCTCCATGCCAGTAAGTGTGTTCACAGTTCGCCACTTATGAAGCTTTTGGTCCATGAATATTGACTAGTTTTGAGGAGCAAAGATGTTGAATGAGAACGACTCCAGTGTGTGATGAGACTTGTTATCTCTGTTGCTTCATCTTGTTTCGCTGATTTAATCAGGCTGAATGTCAGGTCATTTTCAGTATTGACATTAAACAATATCATCAACTCCTATTGTTTTTTCTGTACTCTATTCATAGCCAAATCAATCTGTTCTATGCCACACAGGGAGTCAGGGCCAGGAATGCTGCATTTTAAAGGCTCTGTGACTGCATGCCATCCTCTCCTGCCAGTGAGGATCATTCTTCATATCAATCGGGGCGGTGGGGTAGCCTAGTGGTTAAAGCGTTGGCTCGTCACACCGAAGACCCGGGTTCGAATCCCCACATGGGTACAATGTGTTAAGCCCATTTCTGGTGTCCCCCGCCGTGATGTTGCTGGAATATTGCTAAAAGCGGCGTAAAACCAAACTCAGTCAGTCAGTCAGTCTTCATATCAATCACTGGATTGTCTGGTCCAGATTATTTACAGATTCCTATCATATAGCTGAAGGGGCTATGAGGAGCCTAGTGGTTAAAGCGTTAATTCGTCACACCGAAGACTCAGATTCGATCCCTTCATGGGTACAATGTGTGAAGCCCATTTCTTGGTGCTGTTGTACAAAACAACCTTAGCGCTAAGACTACCTTAAGTCTATGTTATGGTATGGGAGTTACAGTCAGGACTCACCTTAGCGCTGAGTCTACCTTCAGTCTATGTTATGGTATGGGAGTTACGGTCACCTTAGCGCTGAGTCTACCTTCAGTCTATGTTATGGTATGGGAGTTACGGTCACCTTAGCGCTGAGACTACCTTAAGTCTATGTTATGGTATGGGAGTTACGATCACCATAGCGCTAAGACTACCTTAAGTTTATGTTAAGGTATGGGAGTTACGATCACCATAACGCTAAGATGGCTTTGTACAACGGCACCCTGGTGTCCTCCGCCATGATATTGCTGGGATATTGCTAAAAGAGGCGTAAAACTAAAGTCACTCACTCATAGAGCTGTAATATTGCACAGTGCAGCACTGAACATAAATCGTCTGTTCTGCCTTGTCCAAAGTGTCTTGCTTTGTTGAGGGCAGATGGTTTTCCTGCTGTACTATTACATCAACATAGGATTGGTTTGTTGTTTAACGCTGCACCCAGTAATATTCCATCTATATGGCGGCGGTCTTTAAATAATCGAATCTGGACCAGACAATAGTATTAGCATCAATCTACACCTCTTATGACAAGCATGGGTTACTGAAGACCAATTCTAACCCGCATCTTCACAGGTCTCTCTAACATAGGACTAAGCACATTCTTTTATCATAAGTAGCTGATCTTCATGCTTTGCTGTGCTTGTTTCTCGTTACACTCAGCAATGTTACAGGTATGCGATGACAGCTTCTTAATTTTTAGTAAGTACCAGACAATCCCCTCCCTCCAGATACCATGACACTGTGACAAATCAACCGTGTCACTGACTCACAATCAACTATGTCACCGTGACTCACAGTCAACCATGTCACCATGTGCAACACTCGGTTCATTTGGTCATACGTCGTCATATGAGTGAAATATTCTCAAGCACGACGTAAAATCCAATTTCACCTCACCTCACCACCTCATTTGCTCACCTATGACCAGCATAGGTGCCAGGATTCCCTCCAACAACACACAATCAACCATGACACTGTGACACACAATCAACCATGTCACCATGTGCAACACTCGGTTCATTTGGTCACCTTATGTCCAGCATATGTTCCAGGATTCCCTCCAACAACACACAATCAACCATGTCACTGTGACTCACAATCAACCATGTCACCATGTGCAACACTCGGTTCATTTGGTCACCTTATGTCCAGCATATGTTCCAGGATTCCCTCCAACAACACACAATCAACCATGTCACTGTGACTCACAATCAACCATGTCACCATGTGCAACACTCGGTTCATTTGGTCACCTTATGTCCAGCATATGTTCCAGGATTCCCTCCAACAACACACAATCAACCATGTCACCATGTGCAACACTCGATTCATTTGGTCACCTTATGTCCAGCATATGTTCCAGGATTCCCTCCAACGACACACAATCAACCATGACACTGTGACTCACAATCAACCATGTCACCATGTGCAACACTCGGTTCATTTGGTCACCTTATGACCAGCATGGGTTCCAGGATTCCCTCCGACGACACACAACCATTTTATTTAAGTGTGTTCCCATCTTTGTGATTACTGTGTTGTAAGCACACTATTATGATGAATGAAGGATATTTCAAGATGCCTTGAATTCAAGTGTATGAGCACAACAAATATGAGGGAGAATTTAATATGCATTTACTGTAAATGACTGCAGATTAGCTGAACTTTGAGACTACAAAAATAATTCTGCAGAAAGGTGCTGGCTTATCTAAAGGTTGCACTATACTTTATAATTTGGTGCTAATATGACAATCCTCACATGCCAAAGGTGTGAGTTGAGCAGATGGAAAGCGCTGGCAGAGCTGTGGTAAACATTCATGTGGATGCATTCCATGGTAAACAGATAATAATGAACTCCCAACACACGCAGTTAAACAATGATTTTACTCCTGCTTTACACCAATAGTCTTCCAACAACTAAATGATAAATCCAATGAATCAATCCAGTTCTGTTCCACAAAGTAGTGAGTGACTTGGATGTATCGCATCTTTCAACAGTATTCCAATCATATCACATCGTGTCAGTTTAAAGTAGGAAGAAAAGTTCCAAGTGATGCAGATCCTACACAGGTTCAACTCAAGTACACCAGGGCCCTGTTCCTCAAAGCTATCATAGCGCTACGACAGTCGTAGGTCTATGTTAAAGTATGGGAGTTAGATCATCTTAGCATTACGATCGCTTTGAGGAACGAGACCCAGTACTGTTGACGAACCTGGAAATATTAGCAATATTCAGACACATTTAAGCATGTCTGATTTCAGTGCCTTAGATAAAAGGGACACCCTCTCTTCAACAAACACACACACACACATCTACTGATATCACTGATCTGTCTTCGGCTTGAGTCTTTTCTTCACAGCTTCCTCATTTTGTGTCACCTCCTCCTTCTGTTTCAGGGCATAATTCTCTCGAGCTTCATTCATTTCCCCAACTAGAAACTTAATTCTTTTCTGAAATTTGAATACGGTGATGTGATAACTTTTCAAATTCCACCATACTGAATAAATGAGTTTGGTATAACACTTGTGAAAACAAAGTTTCTGTTTACTGACTGACTGAGTTTGGTTTTACGCCGCTTTTAGCAATATTCCAGCAACATCACGGCGGGGGACACCAGAAATGGGCTTCACACATTGTTCCCATGTGGGGATTCGAACTCGGGTCTTCGGCGTGACAAGCCAACGTTTTAACCATTAGGCTACCCCACCGACCCCTTCTGTTGAAATACTGTATCACTTTACTGCAAGTGGCACATCTGGGATACAGAACTATCGCCACCAGATTCTACTATAAGAAGGGGAAGCAAAGTCTTTAATGGCATTTAGAAGTGATACACATTAATGGCAAGAACTTATGGATGTCAAAATCGATTATTAAGAGGAACACAACGTTTCAGAGTATATTATTACTTGTATGATCATATTGCTGATCATAATTAGTGGTACAGTGAATAGTACCAAATAGGTATGACATAGCTGATGATGTCATCTGGCGTCTTAAATGAACTGCTGATCGATCACAGTATGTGTGTTACTAGATACAGAGATGGTTCCTGATGTGAGACCTTTACCATGACAAGGAAGACTTCACAAACTGTTCCCCAGAAACTTATGATAATTCGTTTGAGGCTCTGCACTTACCGCTATTCCAATCCTCCTCCGCCTCCTCTGAACCTGACCTTTACTTAGTGGAGTTGGACGCCCATCTGGGGACATAAACATAGCGTCAATGTTACATTATCCTCTCCATTGTCAAACTATGCCAGCAATTCCAATAACATTAATCAAAAGTATAAGTGAAATACACATGTATTAGCACAGGTTCCACTGAGAATCTGAAGAATCCATACATTTATATCACATTTCTGCAGTTTTATGTTCTTTTCACTACCATCCAAGTAAAACAATCTAGTAAGTCAGATCCCTACATAATATATAATTTATGGTTGTCAAGTTTTTCTGATTAATGATGACATTCATTGTCAATAGAAATTAAAGTAATAGAATTTACAGATACACAGACAAATGCTAGAACCGTGCTGGTGCTGAAGATGTGAAACCTCCATTACCAAGATATGAGTAGTCTGGCATGTCGGTCAGGGGCCCATAGCGGGTATTGTCAGCTGCTAGACCTTGCCTGAAATACAATGAGTGAGTGAGTGTTGATACATACTGTAGTCTCCTGTTAGTTTAACCAAGATGGACTGTGAAGGAGATCTAGTCTGGACCATAGAAACCATCAATCAGACAACGCCTGTAATTTTTGATTAGATTTAGTCTCCAACAATCTACTTCTGGTGCAACAATTAACTTAATACATTGAGGGTTACTTTGCTGATAGTGTATCATCAAAACTCAATGGCATGAGATGTCAAGCAAATATATTATATATAATGGTTTGTCTGGTACAGACTTGACTTTTGACATATAAACGTTCACAAGCTCCAGTGCCATGTATTAATCCAATTTCAGCTGTGGCACAATTAATGAGAGATACCTGGAGTACACGTATGTAATGAAAGGAATACTCTACAGAATAGTGATTCCTATAGGCACACAAACATATTACTTGCTTTCAACAAAAATGGGGATCAGATGGTCATGCTTTGTGACATGCACGACAATGTCATGAACTGGTTGATGTTTCAGACACAACTCATTAGACATGTCAATACTCAACATGCTTAGTTATTTATTGGCTACTGTGCCATAGCAGGAATATACATTTTCATATGTAACTCCAAGATTCAAAATCCAGAAGCTTTTTGGGATGATGTATCCTTAGCAAGCCCACTAACAGTGAAGCTCACATACTCTAATCTCCACTTTTGTCCGGCTGTGACTGGAACTGACGTCTGAAACCAGCGAAGTCCGGTAGCATTCCAGAAAGAACCTAAAAGTACAAGTGATCTTGTCAGGCATTGTAAGCTGCCACATTCATATTTCGAAGCTATCAAATGTATCGATATACAAATTTCACACAAAACCAAGGCTAAAACGACCGCCCATGATCCCTGCCTCGAGGTGTTTTGAAATAATGACCCCCTGGCTCGATTTTGTGTAAATGTGATACTCATTATCTAATATGTGGAAGAGGAAAAAATCACAAAATGACATACCCTTGTGCCAGTTGTGGTGACGACAGGATTCGGAGCAAGGGTTACGGACCGAAATATTTCTAATTAATTAGGAAAGGCAAGACAATTTTAAGCGTATTTTTTTGTAAATGTGATACAACTCAATGTGGAAGAGGCAAAATCACAAAATGGATACCTTGAACTCCCTTCGCAAACATTTAATAAAATTAATTAGAAAAGGCAAGCACATTTCAGGCACGCCATCAAATAGGTTCCATTACCTTGAACTCCCTTGCAAACATTTAATAAACTTGCACATTTCAGGCACGCCATCTTTCTTGAGCATGCTTACAACATGATTTAGAGTTACTTCCCCTTGGCCAGGATTCCCATTCAGCTGTAGGGTGTCCGCACAGTTATGTCCCCAAAATAAGTTGTACAAAAAATGCACAAAATATGTCCCATCTAAATACTGACTGGTGTGACTTGAATACAGGTAGTTGGTTACTAAAATGTCCAAGGTAATTACATGTTAAAAACTCATAAATGTATAAGTCATAAATTTCAATTGAACCACTGTTGGAAATTGAAATAGAATAGGCTTCTCGGTATTCAAAAATCGGTTTTGCAAGATATAAGAATGAAAATATTCCATTAAAACTTGTCTATGGTATTAACTGTGTCGAAGGAGGTACGACGAATGCGTCTCAATGCTAAATGGGAATAATGATTGCATGGGCTTTGATAATATATATTTTTCACAGAAACTGATTACTCTACTTGAATGTTAAAAGGTTCCCCACTGATATCTGAAATTCAGATTCTGAAGAAAATCTAAACTTGCTCAATTTTCAGAAAGGTCTGGGCTGAAGGGAAAATAGTATGTTTCAGAGAGTATGAGACAGATTAGAATAAGACATCCATGTACCGTATTTATGTTGTACATAAAATTGAGAGCACCAAAATAAAGGAAAGCTGTTATGGGCGTGGTCATGGGTGATGTGATAAAGGTGAGCCATGGTATCCTCTCTTTTAGGGTTCACGGTTCGGGTTCGATTTTACTCTAGGTATAGACAAACCGCTCTAAATGAAAAGCATAATGTGAAATCGTTGCCACACTCACACACTCAATTAACCAACGCGTCTCCAGAAGGCTCCGAACCTGAGGAAAATGTAGGCTTGCTTCATTTAGGGCTTTCACATTGCAGAGGTGAGGTGAGGTGAGGTGAGGTGAAATTGGGTTTTACGTCGGGCTTGAGAATATTTCGCTCATATGACGACGTGCATGCGCGTGTATGTGTATGTGCGGCTGCTTGTAATAGCCAAGACTGAAGCTGGTTTTATAGTGCTAGCCCACTGAGATACCATGCGCAGTGAAGCATGAATACCCCACTCAGACACATTATACTGACTCCGAGCCGACCAGTCCTTGTTGTACTCATTAATGCCGAGCGCCAGGCAGGGACCAACAAGTACCATGTTTTAACGTCTTTTGGTATGACGCGGTCGGGGATCGAACCCGCGACCTTCCGCTCTTCGGGCGGACGCTCTAACCACTACACCACGGAGGCGGTTTCACATTGCAGACAGGGGTGGATGATGGGGTGGGTGGAAGGGAAAACAATGTGTTTCAAGGACTGTAGGGACTGAGGCAAACTCCCCTCAGCCTCAAATAAGGACCAGTTACGGCCTATAATCACGTATCACTCCCGCGCCAACTTTTGAACTTTGTGAGTGAGTGAGTTCAGTTCTACGCTGTGCCAGCAATATTCCAGCTATATGGCGGCGGTCTGTAAATAATCGAGTCTGGACCAGACAATCCAGTGATCAACAGCATGAGCATCGATCTACGCAACTGGGATACGATGACATGTGTCAACCAAGTCAGCGAGCCTGACCACCCGATCCCGTTAGTCGCCTCTTACGACAAGCATAGTCCCCTTTTACGACAAGCATGGGTTACTGAAGATCAATTCTATCCCGGTTCTTCACGGGTCTTTGAACTTTGTCAAACCAAAGCCTGTTTCTTAATACTACAACATTGAATAATATTTCATATGGATAAATTATCGCTTTTATGGATACTCATATTTATCGCTTTTAACCTTATATATGTATATGTTTTTCCGCCCGGACCGTCGATCCCCGGTCGCGTCATAAAAAGACTTAAAATTCGAGTGAGGTCTGTCAGCCTGAGTGGGGTATTCATGCTTCACTGTACCAAGTCTTATGTCTCTCTCTCTCTCTCGAAAATATTCCTCTCGATGACGCATGTCTAGGTCTATATACTTGTCACATAGAGTTCTGGAAATAGATGTTTATGTTCGATTTTGTTGAAATTTGTGAAAGTAACTTCCACGTCCATGTACGTAAGTGTTGCCATTAGTTTGGTCCTTATCTTACAGCGGAGGTTCCAGTTTGTTCATCCTAACATTGTTGACAAACATATCGCAAAGTTTTCTCAACAGCAAGGGGCCGATATTAACAATATAGACTCCCTGTCAATAGACCCGACTCCAAAAGACCAGCGAACCGAACCGGTCCAATGTACGAGCACGAACACAATGGCGTCAGACCGTTATACAAATCACATCAGTAAAACATTAATAGTACGGTCCTTCTCATCGAGGTGGTGAATCGGGGAAAGCCATCATCGGCGAAACATGTCAGTCTCGGCATAAGAATACTGCACATACTTTGAGGGGTCACGAAAATATAGACATTTTATGATAAAAGACAGAGTGTCTTTGCACTATGTCTTTACAATGCTAGTCCTTAACAAATGCACCAGTTTACAATAATAGATATAATGCTTTTGAAAACATCTCAGCATTTATTTGCTGAGTTATTTTGAAATGTCCATGATACAACCATTTGAAGAAGAGTTTTCACCTGACGAACAGTATTGTGTTGAATGTGTGCGTGCGTGCGTGTTTGCGCGTGCGGTGTGGGTGTGGTTGTAGATATATAAATAAAGTTAAGAGAGAAGACAAATTGTACTCACTGGCGCGAAGTAATTGCACTATATACTTATATTCCCATGCGGATTTCTATATGCTTTGTTTGGTATACGTTACAATATACACAGGCTATTCACTACTGGGTACATTTACCTGTCTGTACAATAACATAAATGTACTTAACGGGTCTCGTGTTGATACACATAACGCCGATACTAGCTTTCAGGACAATGGATAGTAGTTCATGGAAAGCACAAGCCTTCATACTCGATGAGACTGTAGGTGGACTAGGTTTATGCCGTACCCTTGGCGGCTAGCGTCCACACCCTGAGGCTGTTGTAATCAGACATTGTTCCCTGGAAACACATGCACCCCGTGTTGTGAGAAAATGATAATGCACTTGATGAAAAGACCCACTGCCCCACTGAGCTGCCAGTGATTTATTTGTGTGTACAATCTAAGGAAAATTATGTCAATAACTCACTCACTCACTCACTCACTCACGCACTCACTCACTCACGCACGCACGCACGCACGCTCGCTCACTCACTGAGCGTGAGAGTGCCCATCACGGTCGATCAGTGTTTTCGTTGGGATAGCCAAGTGGTCGAAGACATTGTGCCGAGCTTAAACGAGCCACGATCCGCTGAAAACGAGTTCCAATCCAAAGTCTTCCCATTAATGCTGAAAAATGGTAAACGCTTAGCTGGGACATTTGATTATACATTAGACTGAGAAAAATCCTGAAAAGGTTTAGCGACCATTCATGACGTCGTAAGTGCACATGCCCTGTTTTGTTTACCTATTTCCCAAGCCTTGAGTGAGTGAGTGAGTCGGTTGTCATGCTGCCGTTAACAGTAATTCCCGCTGTTTTAAGGCGCGTCAGCCTCATGTGAAGTTAAGATCCCGAACTGATGCCGGGCTTAGACATTTGACATTTTGTTGAAACCCTCACAAGCACGGGTATGGTACTGACAAGCACGGGTATGGTACTGACAAGCACGGGTATGGTACTGACAAGCACGGGTATGGTACTGACAAGCACGGGTATGGTACTGACGAACAAAGATACTTCACCTTGATCCGAACCCATGATCTTAGGTTTCTGATGTAGTCAAGGTAGAACATTCTGCACAAAGAATTTGTCGCCTTGAGCGTTTCGTTCCAACCAAGCCAACATCTTCCCCTAATATCCGGCGTTCGACATAACTGCAATATGATTTGAACATGATAAACCCAGCATATTTTACAGAATCATTTCCTCGTGCATGAGTCACGTGAAACAGACAAGATGACCCTTAAAATAACTTTCCAAGAAGCAGTTGAATAAGAAAGCTGCATATAAACAAGACTATTGTTTTAAGTAATATAAATATATGAATTCAAAATATATGAATTCGTTTATTGCACCAAACTACGACTGAAAATAACATGCCGATCAAACCACCACCTTCCTAACCTCCCTTGATAGATCGATCTTAAGAGTCATGCTTTGCACCCTCTCGATAAACCCAGCTCTGATCAGTTGTGTGGTATGTACCCTCATTAAAAGTGTATTTAATTCATTTGGCCATTCTGTTATGATTCCACGTAATAGCAAGGACATATAATATACCGGATAACCTAGAATAGCTGGTGTGCCATACCAGAAACCATCAAGTAATGGCTGGTTTCATACTCCGACAGCGACAGGTCGCTCTACCGCCAGACTGTTATATATTACTTGAACCTTGAACCAAACATATAAAGAAAACACTTGTTTATCTTCACTATCAATGATTTATTTATCCGCCATGTGTAAGGATTGCCATTTCCGCCTGGCCAGACCGTGTCAATCAATTGTAACTTTCCACGCTACATGTTTCAACGTTACAAACGATCGAAGACAATGCCTCGGGAACGTTGCGCACATTACTCATTCGACTTGTACCAAATGAACTTGTCTAGGGCAGGAAAACAAGGACTGGGATCAGTCTAGTTGAAAACAACAAAGTAGATCTACTCGTCTCGGCGGAATGTGCCGAAGTGACCCCGAGCGGATATACCAAACTGCTTCTCGGAATTCCCCGCGCGTTCTTGCCCAAACCGGCTCTCGTCTTAACCCGGTAATGCAACTGTTAGAAAATCAGAACCTTCGTCGATGAGGCATTGTGTGTCGCGCCCAGGTCTTAAAACGAACGGTAAATAAAAACTACGATGGGCTTAACAAGATTGGCCCTGTTGAAAATGAAACTCTCGAGTTCTTTATGATACAGCATTAGTAATCAGAAACTGACATAAATATATATTTATCATCCAAAACTGTGTTCCACAGCAGATATTGCTTGTGTGAGATCAAACGATACCTCTTAGGAGGTATCGTTTTGACAGTAGATTTTGTACAATGCCCTGACATCATCAATGATATGACGTCAAAATCCTGATGACGTCACAATGCTGTGACACGCTGCAAACCTAATGGCAGTACCGTGTTCAGAGATAGAATAGAATAGAATAGAATAGAATAGAATAGAATAGAATAGAATAGAATAGAATAATACTTTAATGCCTTTTCAGGAATTTGTGTTACATCAGCAGAGCTACTGACACTGACACAGAGATGTACATTTTTCATTGAAAACTAATGAAGAGTGATTTTTGATGATAATAGAATCTCACCCTCGTGTCTTCTGATATCAAATATATGAACTCGTGGTGATATATTTGATATAAAAAGACACTCGGGTGAGATTATCTATTCATTTCATGATTTTGAACTACCTCTGTTTCTAAAGATCCACGTTCGGGGCAGCGAAGCGGCCGAGGATCTAGGGGATTCCGTGGGCATGCTCCCCCTGGGATGTTTCAACATGCTCTCAGATGCAATTTCCTGCTTTCTGAAGGTAAAATGACTCCATTTATGTAATCTCCAATTTTGTATAAAATATCATTTTTTCCTGCTACGTTTGACCAAATATTTTCATGTAACATATGTTATATTTGGGATTACACTTTCTCAGGAAAGTACAGATTCTAGTACTTTTTGGGGGGTTGAGTCCCATCCGGGATTCGAACCCACACACTCAAAGTCAGGCACCTAATCGCCAGCGCACAAAGTCAAACGCCTAGACCGCTCAGCCACCGCAATGGCAAGTAAAAACGTACTAGAATCTGTACTTTACTGAGAAAGTGTAATCCCAAATATAACATGTTACATTTGACCAGCTTCTAAAATGGCATTGTGTATTTGAAATATTATCATGTTTTTCAAAAATGTTTCTTTGTTCAAAATTGTAGCATCTGTACATAATGTTCTGAAGTAAACTTTATAAGTATGTTTAGACATATCTGTATATATGCAAAAGAACTGTTTTATTCAGATAAAGCATTAATATACAATATTTGTAGATATTAAATTCAGTTGACAGTCCAGAAGTTGCACGTGACATTGCCAATATATACATGATATCTTTGTTCAAGGCAACGTTTGTTCAATATTTTGAAGTCATGAGGATTGAATGCAGTCTTTTTTCTAATTAATTCTTTTGTTCGTTAATTATCATTAGGTATTGCACAATATGCCTTCAGTTTATAGGGTTCCGTGCAGTCTATGTCATTGCCCTGGATTTCTTTATTTTATTTATTAATGGTTGTTGTAGTCATACGTAATCATATTCTGGTACCGATCATCTGTCAGAAGGGCTGTCCGGAATCTTTGCGTCTTTAATTGAAGTGTGGATTTCAGGGCTACGGTGAGGGTATTAATACTTTGATGCACAAAAAAAAATAATCTGTAAAAATCTGTAAAGAAAAAAGAAATGTAACGGACATTCCTAAAATACATCTAAACGAAAACGTTTTATGTTGACGGTAGTGTACGTGTTAGGCGTTGACGTAATGAACTCTACGCTGATGGCTGCGTCATTCAAGCTAACATATGTATTGGTGCAAGAATGATGGTCTGGGGAACTTTCAGCATCCACCATAGGTCTCAGGTCATTATAGGTCTTCAGGTGATCCTTCAATCACTTGCTATCTCGATGAATCGACGTTGTAACGCTTGCGCGCTAGTCCAAGACTGTAGTTATTCACAACGGAGATCTCACTTCATCTTCAATGTTCCTTTGTAGACTTCTGTAAGACCAATGTAGTAAAAAACCTTTAGCTTTGAAAGAAATAACTCTAGTTATAAGTATGTGATCTGACACCATTGCGCTTCTTTTACTGTTTAGTATATAGGGTTTATCCCTCAGATCCTAGTCCTCAGTCCCTTGCTTGCTGATGATGTAACATGCGCTTTCGGCGATGCTGATTTCATTTGAAGGAGAGTGAGGGTACCTTGTCACGAAAACCATAAATGATAAGTAGAGATTATCCCCTCCCTTTTCCATACCTTGCCCCGTATCATCCCGAGACGCCCATATCTGACCGACGCCATCAACTAAACAAGCAAGAATCTATCATTTTTAACAACCTTTTATACTCTACAAAAATATTTCACTCAAACACTCAAAAAAAACAACCGCCTCGACCATATATTATTCAACATTAATTCAATAACTGTAGAGTGTCATTCTAAATACTTCAACATACTTCTGTGTCTCAATACATTCACCCGAAGGAATTTCCTCCCGCTCCACTTATTCATCTTGTTCCATCAATCTATTGGAAAGCGACGCTAGCGTCCGATCGCCTTCCATTTTCATCAAAGATTGCCGCAACTAATTCTGATGTCATTTTCATGACGTCATTTTATCTTGTTACGTTCCATGACGTCGCACACAGAATTGAGGGGGTCCGAGCAGGGAAGATATAGAGAATCTCACCCAAGTGTCTGCTTAATTATATCAACACGAGTTGATAAAGTTACAAATACCCGAGGCTTGCCGAGTATATTTTCACTTTTATCAACGAGTGTTGATGTAACTGATATCAGGAGACACGAGAGTGAGATTCTATTTATCATAAAAATCACTCTTCAATAAGTGTCAATGAAAAATGTACATCTGAACACTGTACTACCATTAGACTTGCAGAGCAGCGATGTCATAGCATTGTGACGTCATCAAGTTCATGACGTCGTAGCATTGTCAGGGTATTGTACAAAATCTACTGTCACAACGATATATACTAGGAGATACGTATGATCTCATACAAACAATATCTCCTGTGGAACACAGTTTGGGATGATAAATGAGTTATCTTGCCGGGTCCAGATATAGACCCAACCATTTCGCCAATATTGGGGTAGGACAAAATTGCATATACATGTACGGGGACATTACTACTGTATTAAGGGGATAATCTCTACTCCATACGATTCACTATGATGGCTGTTGATCGAGCACTCCGGCATAGCTAGTAATTATCAAACCGAAAGTCTACCATTAATCCCACAAAGTTAAAATCCGCTGGCGCTTGTCACAGATGAACGTCTGAAGTTGGGACATGGCCACACCTCCCTGCAGCCAACGTTAAGTTTAACTGAGCGTTCAAGGTTATTGCACTTGCAACTCCCCAGGGAGTTGAGATTGATAATACGATGTGCCGTTGAGATTGACATCCAATGATCGAGGGAAAAATACCAGCGCCTTGAGCATGCACCAGTTGCGTGGATATGTGCGCTATATAAATATACTATAATAATAATAATAATAACTTACGTAACAACTTCTGTGTATGTTTGTGTGAGTACACGCGCGAGTGTGTGCGCGTGCAATATCACAATGGGGGCCACATTGTACCCATACAGAGAATCGATCCCGGGTCTTGGGCGTGACGAGCGAACGGTTCAAACACTATAAAACACCGCCTCTCTTAAACTTGAATCTGATATCTTAAAAATCTTCAATCTTCAATTGAAATATTTTAAAAATACAATTAAAAAGGTGTTTGACCGACTTGAATCTTATACGCTTAGCCATTATTTCATGTTCACCATGATAACGTAGCTAGCACTGGGAATTTATAAAGACCATCATGTTATTCTGCACACAGAGCCGGTTTGAACGTAAATAACCGTGCCTAGTTTGGACGTACACTGGTTTGGCAGAAATTCCATCCAAGATGGCGACGTAGAGACGAGTGATGCTGCGAGGTGTCCAAATAGTGACAGTTCTCCGTCAGTGACAAAACTTGGGAAATTAAAATGAAATCGAACGGTACATGTTTCGTTGTGTATTTACCCATCCGGTGGTAAATATGATTTGACGAACTGAAATGGAGCGAACCCGTCAGCTGTTCATTGCTTGTGAACAGGGGGATGTTGTTTCTGTGCGAACGCTTCTTGACGATGTCGAGGTCGACAGTGTTGATGATGACGGTAACACACCGTTACAGGTTGCAGCAGCGAATGGCCACGAGAGCGTTGTCAGAGAGCTGATAATGAAAGGGGCGGCCTTGGACAAGCCTAATGTCTTTGGTTGGACCCCCTTAATGCAGGCTTGTAGGTATGGACACTCCAATGTCGTGGGGACACTACTTCAGAATCAAGCAGATATCAACGCCATCAACAGATATGGAGCCTCAGCTTTGACTCTTGCAGCAAGAGGTGGACATGTGGCGACAGTAGGCATGTTGGTGGATTACGGAATCGATCTGAATGGTTCGGGGGGAGTGTGTGAATTTACCCCTCTTTTGGCTGCAGCTCAGCATGGCCATGATACTGTGGTCAGGTTTATCATAGACCGAGGGTGTGATGTCAATTACAGGACACCGTCGACGGGGTTGACGCCACTGATGCTTGCCGCATTGAATGGTCACATGACTACCTCGCAGATCCTGATAGAGCAAGGAGGGGACCCTAATCTTGTGAATGTAAACAATAAAACCCCGTTAGCTATTGCAACGATACGGAGGAAGAGAGAGGTTCGAGGATACCTGGACCGCAAAACCACAAATAAACCAGAAGTTGGTAAGTTGGTGAAGTTTTTATGATTTAAATGACGTAAGTGTGGAAGTAAACTTGGGTCTGTGGCGTGACAAACTTGCAACCACAATTCACGTTTAATGGGAGAAAGGTTTGGCTGATATGCCTATTGTCGTAGGTACTGTAGATTGACTTGTGATGAGTTGTGTCCCCTTTGCTGTGCCAGGATTTTGATCATCATAGGTTTGAATCTCCGTATTTCCCTGATTATGGTTTGTATAGTTTTGGAACCATGTCAGTGATCATTAATTTTGTCAAAGCTGTAAACATATGAACAATGATTTAAAGTGTATAAAAATTATTCAATTTATGTTATAAAGCATATAAACACTGAAATAGAACAAATGTTTTCCACACTGTTACACTTACAGTTACAATGTAGTTTGTGAACAATGTTTATATGAGCTGAAATATATTCAGTAGTGTAGGGATATAAAGGGAACAAAGTTTCATAAAGAAAACTATGTTATGACAGGTTGACAAAGTAAATAGGTTACACTGTGTCACAAACACAGACAAATGTACAACATTGTTGTCCATGCTGTGTTGTATATCTGTTGTATCACCATGGATAGTTTGTCTTTCTGAAGGCCAGGGTTTGATTCCCTGTATTTAGAAATATTGGGGCCGGGTACCCTATGTGGCATGACCCAACCTGACCAGGGTACAGGAGGTAGCATTACCCAAACCCGGATCAGGTACAATGAAGCATTGTATTTGAATTCATTTTTTATAAGACCTGACTCAGCGGTCATTTCCAGTGATTCTGTCAGTGCTTTACAAGCAATTCTGGCAGGTTACTCTATCAGCTAGAAAATGTTGTGCATTGTTTGCTGTATCAATGTAAGACATGTGGAAGTCAACAGCTCAAGAATGATGTAACCTCTTACAGACCGGGTTCGATTCCCACATGGGCACACTGTGTTAAGCCCATCTGGTGTCCCCATCAATCATCAGTCACAATATTGACCTCTCATTGGCTGGACTATGTATTATGTAAAGGAATGTCGTTTGCCATGAAGTTCAAAATGTAATTCTTGCGCATATTAAACATGCGGCAGCTTTGCTACTGTATAAAATTTTAGAAACTTAGCAAACCATTATGAAGGGCAAGGTGTAAATGGGCCTAGTTGCCCGAATACCTATTAAACTTTTAATGATCAATCAATCAACCAGATCAGGTACTCGGGGGAGCATTATCCAACCCGACCCAGGTACCCATTAGAAAAAGTAACTGAGAAAAACAGATTTCTCTGATATTTGTGTTATGGTGACAAAACTACTCCATATGTGCAAGTAACACAAACATGTGCTTCCATATAAATCAAATATTCTTAGGGTTACACTCTAAAAAGATGTCTTTAAAAGAGATGTCACAAAATACATATGTAATTAAATTGACTGTTATTTTGGGATATTTCTTAGTGGTGTGCATTTGTTGACCCATCCGGGATGAACCCACATGTCAGGCAAATGATGTTTGCTTCTTTGACTTGAAAGTCTGATGATTTTCCTCATCATTTTAACTGTGAACAATGAAGTTTGGTTAATTATTTCAGATCTATGAATTTATGTAATGTATATTACTATCAGTAACATGTGACCAGTTACATGATGATATGGGTATGGGTAGTTTATTCAAGCCGTGGGTAGTGAAAGTTATTTACCCGACCAGGGTACTCAGGAAACCAACCCCAGCCTGTTCAATATAGGAGTACTGGAAAACTTTAAGAGTACATTTAGAATATATATACTGAATGGAAATTAATTGAGTATCAGTAATCTTGTGTTTCGTTTCATATATGCACCACAACATTGCTAGTCTTGTGTAAACAGGTCAATAAACAATAAAACAATACTTTTTCAGATAAAAACATCTGTAAATGATTCTAAGACCATACACCATTGCTGTGGTGCGAATCTGCTCACGCTTTTCTAAATTATTTCCCCGTGTACAGCCCATATTTTGTACCCGGTACATATGCTACTGCCCTTATCTGGAGCCCAGAGTTAGCTAACCTGTCTGTGGTATGACAATAAATCATTAAATGAATCATCTTTGCATATAATTTCAGCAATTTGTGAATGTGTAATGCATAATTATTGTTGAAAGAGATACAAAGAAAATGATATATAGAGCTGTATGTGTGACAGATAGTGTTTTATGACCTGTCAGCTTTAATCTATATGAATATGATGAAAATATCATTTCATGTGTCCAATACTTTTACTTACACTGATTAAATCTATAGAAGCAACTTTCTGATTAACCTGTACATGACAAAATGGCTCCTCTTAACAATGGTTTCTAACTGATAAGCCCTAAGGGACAATGTTTAGATGACAGCTTCCAGACTTTGTGGAAGTTAAGTCCCCTTAATGTTCTCATGGCTGCCCTATTGTGTGATAATCCCAGTATCAACTTGACATAGACTGATACAACAATAGCCTGGTTATAATCAGTGTTATACACCAGTAGTTCTTTACAAGGCTCGGAGATAATGGGGAGAGATAATGATTTTACTTGGCAGGAAGACAGGAATTGAACATATTCCAAAGTCAACATTAATAATGTTCATGCCATTCTTTACTTAGTGGGTTTGTTGTAGGCCAAAAGGATGGGGTTGTTTCCTGTTTCTGTGTCTTACTACATAGCTTGGTAAACATGGCTGAAGTTTATGACTAATGATACACAGCTCATGATACCATATGTATTACTACATGTTGTTATGTATTGTTCATTATATCATGACTGGATGATATAATAAGAGGTTATTACATGACAGTTTTCCTTTCGCCAGTTGTCTCGGGCTGATATGGTAGTCTCGGGCTGATATGACTGGCAAAAGGAAAACTGTCATATCATAACCATTTTATCATATACCACATCAAGGGATGTAACTCTAAAATAAACTAGGCTCCATCTATTGGAAGTTTTGAGCGTTTGCGTGTATTCATTCCGTACCAGTTTAGTAGCCGTGCAATGTGGCTGATATGGATTTTTAGTATTGTATGTGCAAAATGGTCCCTATTATTGATACTATATAGGTATATGATAACTTGCAATATGGTATCCTTGATACTGTAATCATGTGGCAATATGGTATCGTAAGGGGTCATGGGTGGGGCAGAGATCCGTCAGATTTCTGAATCATTGTGCAGAGTTGCGTGTGATACCAAAGTGATGCTGAAGGGGTCGTTGTCGGCATGGGTACTACAGATGCATACCCCAGGTACCCTAGCCAAAATCAGACTGCATAAATGTACACTAGGACGGGTCCTTTTGACATTGTGCCGTTTTCTTGATGAAAACTGTGATGTTGTTGTATTAGATACATTTGATTGTATTTTCTAAGATGCTTCGCTAAAAGATCAAAGGCTTTGACAGTACTTTTTCAAGTGATAAAGTACACTTTTTGCATTACGTCACACTGTATTGACGTCTCTATGCCATTCTCTTCTTCCCCTCTGTAATTGAACATACCCTTGGTAACCGACGTCACGATGAATGTCAGTTGTCATTGCCCAGTACAGTCTCCAACAGCACAGCCAACTATGTAGCATCCTGTTTCTTGGTGGTTTGCAGTTGCTTCAGTCGGCTAACATCACTGGTGGAAACAAAAGTTTAACTTTTTTGATGGAAAAATGTTTCAGCTCGAATTAAAATTAAACAGAAACACTTTATTACACTATACATGGTGTGTAGAGTGAACTGTATTTCCTGATTATAAGAAACGAGCATACACAGTAATGAATATTTCGTGATGCACAACACCACTCGTAATCAGTTGAACAGGAACAACTACATACGGTTTCAGTCATAGGTTGAGAAATATGGGCTTATACATATCTCTAGCATCTGTGCTGATGACAACCCCTTCAGCCAAAGTGATAACTCACCTCCATGCTTTTCTCCTGCATTAACCTGACATGCCGATACAATGGAAATTAACCAGACATGATACAATGGAAATTCTGTTTAAAGCAGCGTGAAATCGTCTCACTCACTGTCATGGGTAATATGTAGGGGTGAAACGGTATGCCCTCACTATGCAGGGGTGGAAATAACTTTAAAATTGCTAGTCAACTGGACATTGGAATATCAACTGGACACCGGTACAGTGTGATATACAAATTTGCTTGCCCGACAGAAAAAAACACTGGACTCGGGCGTCGGGCAATGGGTTATTTCCACCCCTGACTATGGTGCGGTACGTGTTGCGGTACAAGGCCCTCAGTTCAGTCCATTTCAGTTCAGTATATGAGATATAATCATAATGCAGAAAATTGACAACAAAAGCCAAACCTTACACTGTTTGATAATATTGAAAACAATAACCATAATCTTTGTTATTTTGAATGAAAAACTGCCATTTTATGACTTGATAGAAATGACCGTACGTAAACCGAAAATACCGAATTTTGTGATTGTATTATGGTATACCGAACTGAAGGCAAAATACTGCGGTTCTACTAGTACTGTGGTATACTGTTTCACCCCTAGTGATATGCATTACACTATCTTGTTCATGATATGTGGTGAACATGGATGTTCATTCAATGGAATAAAGAAAACATTGTCCACTCTTCATATTTTCATGTTAGTTGGTCAGTAAATCTATTAACAATATTATCTCATAATTATTTTTGACTATTAGAATAGCTTAAGAAAATAAAAATCTGGTTGACTTTCCGATGAACATTTATTCATCTCGTGTTGGCCTCACCTTTGTTAAATCACTTGAGATCATTATTGTTCTGGGTGTTATAGAAGATAATGTTGACATGACAAGACCATTGTCTTGTAGTCCTGATTGTGTGGGGACCTACATGGGTCAGGGAGCGTGTTGTCAGGGGTTACCTCCCATGCTGCAATGAGCTGTGTCAGCAATATTCTCTCTATTGTAGGTTCTTGGCTTTGTCGTGTTGATGCTGTATGGTTTTATCATGGTTATTGTCTTTTAAAGGAGGATTAAACTCTATTGTCGGATGTGGTCTGGTGCTTTTAAGGCAGAACCTAATAGATGACTTTTAACTAACTGAGATATTAATTGTCGCTGTATAATTGAGGATAAGCACAAACTTCTATATTTATCAACATAATAAAATTATGTCTGATAACTAGGGCTGCAATGAATACACTATGTGGCGAATATGATATGTATCATGAATATTGGGTAACGAATACCAATAATTATTCACGAATACAATATTGTAGTTAAGTGATTGATGTACAATATGGAACGCCCATGTTGACAGTTTTGATTTGTCACAGCAATACACAGTGATCTCATGACACTCAAATTTGGTATGTAATAGTTATAGTTGACAGTCAATATCGAATGTTCTCGTCACGATATGGCTGAAATATTGCCGATGTGACGTTAAATATTAACTCACTCACTCACTATAGTTGACAGTACCATGTGTGGCCTTGGCAAACTCACATGACTTGCGCTACTGCATATTCAATCCTTGCATATCTCACTTTCCAAAAGTACACAAGGGTTCAAGTAAAACGTGGCTCCCATAATTTTTTTTGTAATTATTCATTAATATTCGGTTCTGGTGACCACAAATAACTAATTGAATTCATGAAGGGCCACGGTTCGATTCACTGAATATGCGAGTGAATCGTTACAGCCTTACTGATAACATACAATGAAAAACAAGTGAGTTTTGTATAACATAAAAATGATTGGCTCATAGTGCTAATTAGTCCCAGTCTAGGCCCTCTCTGAGTAATCACTTACAGCTGGGATGTTTCCATGGAGATTAGAGCTAAAGGATTTTATGCATGACATCTTACTATCATGCTAATATAAATCATCAGGATCATATGATCAAAGGCAAACATAGCACCCAGCGATATTCTAGCTGTATGGCGACAGTCTCTAAAAAATTGAGTCTGGAGTGATCAACAGCATGAGCATCGATTTATGCATTTGTAACATTTATGATATATGTTGATAACTGAAACTTTATACTAATTATGATTATGATGATATGGGTTTAGGCTTCAGTGCAGATCAATTGCTATCAGCGATTTTTGCGAGCAAGAAATGTGCATCCAGTACATGCGAATATGCAGAATGGATGCAGAACAATGTATATTGTGTCCCAAAGGACACACCAAAATATTCACTGAACCAAATTTTCGACAAGAAATATAAAGTTCATGTTATAAATGTAATCAGTGCATCTTACAGTACATTACACGGTACTCCTACATTACTTTACAGGACTCTCATATTTCTCCACTATCAAATATACAGGGGATACTAAATGACCTTCCGTGTAATACCAGTTTTATTAAATGAGTTAAAGATTTGGTATCAAACGGTCGAAAGCGGGTTTGATATTAAATATTTCACAATTGTAATAAAAATGGTATTTCACATAAACGAGTTTAGTATTCTGTTTATTACTCTCCAACATAAATTGTTAGAAACTGCAGACACTTTGATGACTCTCAGCTTTCCCCGAGTCAAGCAAGGTCTAATACCATTGAAAGAGAGGTATTAGCATTGTGACGTCATAACTGTAAACCATTATGATGTCATACGTCGAGCGGTATTACACTACAATAATGTAATATTGAGGTAAGATAAATTATTGTGTTCTTGATACTGTCGTCGCCGAAGACCGTTCCCCACAGATAAATGTGCCACCCATGGTGTTCCCGCCGTGATGTTGCTGTAATCATGGCAACATGGTTTCATAGAGGAGCATTGGTGAAGCAGTAAGTCCTTCCACGGCCTGGTTATGAAGTTTACATAGTTGCATTAAATCATAACTCCTATTCTGTTTTTCAGCTCCTGACGAGGTCAAGCCAGACATCATTGATGCATCCAAACATGGTAAGTAGTCACATGGAATTAAAGTTGCATGATCAGCAAGTTCTCCAAGGTTTAAAGTTATAAATTATAGTGCTCTATTTAATTCTCTTCAGTGTAGGTAATGATATGCTGTTACAGAATAGTGTCCATCAAAAATGTCCATGTGGGCAAAACCTGTCCTTTAACAGATGGGATGTTGTTGCATAAACATGTTGACCTGCCATGATGACTCTCGGACATTTGCATGACCATAAGTTGTGTTTTATATGACTTCCTTAGAGTGTGCAATGAAATGCACGCATGAAAGAAAAGACACTGGAGTTGTAATTAAACAATAAAAGTGGTTAACATTTTACAATGCGCATAGCTTTACGCTGTTGAGCGCATGTTTGTTCATGAATATTCATCAAATTTAATGGTTAGTTTACTTTATTCAAGTGTGTTATACTAAAACAACAAAATTCTGATTAATTTTAAATATGTTTTGTACAATCGATAATTATTTTTAATCCTTCTTTCAATCGATTTTCCATTATTTTTGATCATCAGAACACCACGAGTGCTCACTATAGTCTGTTTGCAGTGAAAACGTACCGATGAATTTCACTTTAAACAAAAAAGTAAATCAAATAAAGTGAAATTAAGACTGCAAATCCTCATGGTTTTACCTTGCCAGTTGAACATTTAACTCTCAGAATTTTATTCGACTTAGGATAAAAGTTGTTTAACAAACGATCATAGTTTCACATGGCTATTATTGGTTTGTATTACAAGGGGGTATGCACATCAAATGAAACACCGAAAACGACAAGGGTTGTTATAAGTTAACGCTCTTCACGTACCGCACGTTTCATTTGTTTCACTTTTCCATCTACTGCGCTTACCCCCTTGTAATACAAACCAGTAATAGCGATTTGAATCTATGATCGTTTGTTAAACAACTTTTATCCTAATTTAAATAAAATTTTGAGATTTAAATGTTCAACTGGCAAGGTGAAATCATGAGTATTCGCAATCTTAATTTCACTTTATTTGATTTACTTTTTGGTTTAAAGTGAAATTCATCGGTACGTTTTCACTGCAAACAGACTATATGCTATTATAAATGACTGGTTCATCAACACTGTAATAAATGGCTTTTACCTTACCAGTGTAATAACTCAACGGTCCCCAACTTCTGTGATTAATTCCTGGTCCCCGACCTCTGTGAATCATTACCGGTCCCGACCTCTGTGATTAATTACCGGTCCCTGACCTCTGTGATTAATTACCGGTCCCTGACCTCTATGATTAATTACCAGTCACTTACTTGACAATGCTGTTGCTGTGCAGGTGATATAACCCGGATACGTGAGATCCTGGACATTGACTTGGGTCAAAGAGATGCCTCAGCACCACAAGATGGCGCCACCCCTTTGATGTTTGCGGCAATGACAGGACGGCTGGACATTGCGGAGTTGTTGGTGGTCCGAGGGTGTGACATCAACAAACAGGACACCATCAGTGGCTGGACAGCGCTCATGCAGGCCACATACCACGGGTTGGTCACATATATACACCTGTCGTTAACACACTGACGAGCTGTAGTGGTGTACAACTCCAAGTCACTATTGACTTTATGACTTTGTCATTATTCTGACAGGCAGTGATATAACTTCATTATATCATAGATAATGTTGTCAATGCAAAAAGTTAATCAGGAAACCTGATGTGATAAATATGCAAATGAGGTTACCTTGCACTACTTTTAACTCCATACATCGAGGCAATGTCTACTTGAGCAGTATATTGTGGTGTATTGCTGCAAATAAGTTTAGTTGGAAGTTTCTTGATGTGTTTCTGTAGATAACTATGACAGAAAATAATTTGGCACTATATGATAAATGGGACTCGCTACTGTGTTCATACACAATTTCTTAAGTTACTTCTTTGAGTGTAAAGAACCATATGCATGGATTTGTATACGTATGATGTTAAATGATAAAGAAATTATTACCGTTATCATATAGAAACACAAACAGCTTATAATCATCTTATGATAAGATGAATCCACCCTTCTCACTTTCAACCACTCACTTTAATGACATACTGTATGCGAGCTAGGATTGGTGTTTGAAGGTAATATTTTCGTGTTTTCAGGAAGAAGAATGTTGCCATGTATCTGCTGAACACTGGTGCTGATGTTACCATTCAGGCCAAAAATGGATGTACGGCGTTTGATATGGCTTCCCTCATAGGTGAGCTGCCGGAATGTAGGGCTCTTCTTAGGCAGCCTGATGTCAGCAATTCTATATTCAGGATGACATTGCATTTCTTCAGTTCTTTGTTTCTTGTTCAATTCAACACTTAGCATTTCTCAGCAAGCTGTGAATAATTTGTTTTGAGGTAACCACCACCATCCTTTCCGTTCATGCAGGGTATAAAACTCCCAAAAATTTCAGCCAGACCATAGGGCTGGTTAGATGTAAAACTTGCCAGCTCTGACCAAAACTTACCTGCCTGCAAATAATTTAGGTTTGACAAGCGACGTAGTTTATCATCCAATTGGAATTCATAATTTATTTTTACGAGTGATTTGATAATGATTTATTATCCTGAAATATGATGAATATCTTTATGTACATGTCTAAATTTTAACCTGACTGTCGGGCAGGTGAATTTGAGAATCTGGCAGTCTGTGTTGAAAATAACCCGTCCCGGGCGGTCGGGCAGGCAGGTGTTTCGAACGCTGGTTCACATTAAGCTGTTATGTAACAAACATGGTGTTGAAAGGGGTAGCAACAATATTCCTGCTGACTATATGTTTACCCCGTCCACTCACCATTGTTCCAGACGATGTTGATACAGAGCTGCTGCGCAGCAGCTGGCTGCGAAGGCCATGCAGGTGTGTAAGGCTGACAGAGGGAAGAAGAACTGGGGCAAACAGAACGGTAGTGTTGCGGCTACGCTCCCACCTGATTTCAGGTAATACTACAGTGTAGAGGACATTGTGGATTTGTTGGTACTACGAGTTGATGTCCAGGCATGATGATTGTGGAGTAAAATATGTGTAGGGTGGAAGGATGAAGTTGGGATGGATGGATAGATGTAATAATTAAGGAATTCCTGGATGGGTAGGTGGGTGGATGAATGGATGGATGGATGGATGGGTGGATGGATGGAAGGGTGGGTGGGTGGGTCGGTGGATGGATGGATGGAAGGGTCAATGGATGGATGAATGGGTGGATGGATGGATGATGGTGGGTGGATGGATGGATGGATGGAAGTGTGGATGAATGGATGGATACATGGATGGAAGGGTTGATGGATGGATGAATGGGTGGATGGATGATAGTGGGTGGGTGGATGGATGGAAGTGTGGATGAATGGATGGATGGATGGATACATGGATGGAAGGGTTGATGGATGGATGAATGGGTGGATGGATGGATGATAGTGGGTGGGTGGATGGATGGAAGGGTGGATGGATGGATGGATGGATACATGGATGGAAGGGTTGATGGATGGATGAATGGGTGGATGGGTAGATGGTTGGAAGGGTCGATGGACAGATGGATGGGTGGATGGAAGGGTCAATGGATGGAAGGATGGATGGAAGGGTGGGTGGATGGATGGATGGATGGATGGATGAATACTACCAGTATTGTCAGAAGGTTCATTTACTGAATTAGTCATATTATTGAATGAAAAGATTCACATTCTGAAAGACTAATGAGTCAGTGAGGTTGAATAGGGTTGTATGATGTGTCAAAGGTTCTTTATATAGTGTTCCAATACTAGGCCTGAACGAACAGTGATCCTGTCATAACCCTGATAAATGACGCTATGTCACATATATAGTGGGTAGGTCTGTAGATCTCTAGATCTTTAACTAAAACTAAAATGGTTATGTACCTCTATGTTTGAATTTTCACATTAAATTAAGTTTTTGGATGTTTACTTGTCAAACTGTGAACAAAAGAGAGACAAAAGTATTGTTTAATACATGATCATTATCATTTGTATCGGATTCTTGTATCGAACATGCAACTGTTGTTTCAGCCTTGAAGATCATCCTAAGAGTGGCCTCAAGGTAAGAAGAACACTGCTTGGTTAATTTGTATGTACATAGTATGTTAAATGTCAAATTTTAACTGTATGAAATTGGTTCAGCGTGTTGGAGTAAGGAAATCTAATCTGCTTATCTCTCTTCAATATTTTCTAATTCATTCCATACCTAGACAAGTGTAGTGTGTGTAAGAGTTAAACATTTGTTCTATGATTTGCAGGCATGGTGGAATCGCCTATCGAACAGGTTTCGGAATCTCAAATTGGGGCGCACTTTCAACATGTCAAACCGATTGGCACCAATGCCACTTCAGCACACCACATCCATGCAGGATTTGTCAACGAAAACGCCGCGATCACCAGAGGTAGGACATTTTGTTTGGGCACTAGGACACTGACTGGGGATTCTGGGTATGTCAGTACCCATGATCTTGGTTAGAATTGGTCTTCAGGAACCTATGCTTGTCGTAAGAGGCGACTAACGGGATTGGGTGGTCAGGCTCGATGGAGATGCTGACACACGTCATCGTGCGCCAATTGCGTAGATCGATGCTCATGCTCAATGCTGCTCATTGCTGTGTCCGGAGTAAAACTAAACTCGCTCACTCACTGGTTATGTCAGTGGTACACTTACTCGGGGATTATGGGTATGTCAGTTGTACTCTGACAAGGGGATGCTGGGTATATCAGTGGTACAACTGGGGTATCCTGGGTATGTCAACTAACTTGTCATGTATGTTGGTTTGTTTCTTATGTGTGAAGCCAGTTCTGGTTGTTCCCGAGGCATAATATGGCTGAAATGTTCTTAAACTGTCATTAACCTTGTTTGTTCCAGCACCAGCAGATCCAGACAGCACGGGTAGAGACCCAGAAGCTACTGGACCCCACCCAGACGGCGCTGTCAATGACCAGCTACAAGTCCATGCTCCTGGAAACCAAGAAGAGTGCTGCCTTGTACACGCTGGTACAACTAACTCTCACTGTACTTAATATGCCCAGACCACTTTCCTTCCTCTTTTTCATTTTGTAAATTTTCTTCCTGTAAAGATCCAGGTTAAAATTGGCCTTTGCAACCCATGCTTGTTGTAAGAGGCAACTAATGAGATGGGGGTGGGGTCAGGTTGCTGACTTTGTTGACACATGTCGTATCCCTGTTGCATAGATCGATGTTCATGATGTTGATCACTGGATTGACTGGTCCAGACTCAATTAGTTACAGACCATGCCCATATAGTTGGAATATTGCTGAGTGTGGCGTTAAACAACAAAAGAGCAAGCAAGCATTTTATTCATCGACCATTGAACTTTAATGTTATGTCTACTGATACTTTGTTCTACTGTTCTTTCTTTTTTAGCAGGAAACCTTTTTCTCTCTTATCAGACAGTTGTAATTAAGTGATACAGAGCCTGGCGGCCAAGTTTATGTCTCATCCTCATCTTTGTCTCCCATTAGGACATCAACCCACCTCGGTCTAACCTGACCAGCGAGTCACTGAAGCCTGTAATTCCCCCCATCCTGCCGGCGCCGAGCTTCTGTCTGGACAACTCCCCGACGACGCCCGTCATGCAGCTAGTCACTGGCACACAACCAGGTCCATTGAGGAGGACGGCAGTAGCACACTGGTAGGGGTTAGCCAGCTCTGACTCTTTCCTGGTCATTTCTAGTCATTCAGTGGAATTGTGTTACCTTCTCTAACCATTTGCTGAAACAGTGAAGTGGTACACTCTTTGAACACTAAGTGAATATATTATCAACTCCAGTTTTTTTTCAGTACCATAAAGTTTTATGCGGCTCCCAAAATGTTCCTGATACATTATTGGAATTTATGTTAGTCTGAATTAGAGACCTGTGAAGGTCTGGGTTAGAATTGATCTTCAGTAACCCATGCTTAGAGGCGAATAACGGGATAGGGTGGTCAGGCTCGCTGACTTGGCTGACACATGTCATCGTATCCAATTGCGTAGATCGATTCTCATGCTGTTGATCACTGGATTGTCTGGTCCAGACTTGATTACTTACAGACCGCTGCCATATAGCTGGAATATTGCTGAGTGCGGCGTAAAACTAAACTCACTCACTCACTCACTGAATTCAGAGCCTTTTAAAACCATGTACTTATAGGCTGCTGTAAAGTCTTTCACTGATATCACTGCCTGTCAGCTTGCTGTCGAGGAAATCCTGTAACGATGCAGGTCTAAAACTTTGGTGGGGCGGTGGGGTAGCCCAGTGGTTAAAGTGTTGGCTTGTAAGACCCGGGTTCGAATGCCCACATGGGTACAATGTTAGAAGCCCATTTCTGGTGTCCCCTGCCATGATATTGCTGGAATATTGCTAAAAGCGGCGTAAAACCAAACTCACTCACTCACTCTAAATCGTTGGTAAAACCAAAGAGCGCACACATGGTGGTGACAAACATAGGATCCTGTCACACCTAGGGGATGCAACTCTGATCAGTCTGCTGTGGCACCATAAATGATACAAATATATTCATCATCCTTCTGTATCTTTATCTTGCAGAACTCCCGTAGAGCAGTAAGCAGCCCTATGAAATTTCTAGGCAACCGTTCCCCAGGTAACATCCGGCGCCATTACGCGGCTAACTCCCTCTCTCCTCACCTGCCTACTAAAACCATTAGTCATGCATCCTTCAACGGGGCGACTAGTCCCACCATTAACATTAACTCTGCTGCTGATGCTGTAGCTACCGAGTGTGTGTTGGATGCTCAGAGCGAACCCCTGCCTTCCCCTATCAACCTCACCAAACCAGGTCAGACCCCATACATGCCGACTGGGGCTCAGGGACTGCCACTTGGCTTCTTTCTGTTGGACAATTGTACTTATGCTTGTTGTACTATACTAATGTAGAGACAACTCATCATAGTGTTAGGGCATTAGAGTGTTTTATAGTTCATATTTGGCTTTTGCTAAGATAAAATTTCCCATATTTCAAATGAGTCACTCCTGTATATTTTCTGGGTTTTTTTTCAGCCAATATGTCCCTAAAACTAAAATATTGTGAGGAATGACAAGGAATATATTTCCTTCACAAGAACCTGAAATTACATTATAAACAGAAAAATATGAGATGATAAAAAGTTTGTTTATTGTGTTTGACATTTTTCACTTTTGCAAAATGTATGGAAGACAGTTCCAGGTATATGGGATCCTGTTATGACATGAATATATACTGCTGTTACTATGGTGATGACAAGAAGCCTGACAATCCATTTGTTGAATTCTGCTTCCAGTATTACAGGTGTCCCAGATGCTATTACACCTGATCCTCCTTAGGAGGAGACTTTGTTAGAGTGACCATGACATTGTGTACAGTATGTTACACAGGAGTTCTTAGTTACTGAAACTACAAGTCTCTCCAAGACTGACATTGTCCAAATGAAGGAAGACAAGATGGTGTTGTTGCCATGGCAGTCCTGTTGCCTAGTCTGTTGTTGTCTGGTGTTTAGTGTCGTCAAGGACACGTCTACACTGCATATGGACACCTGTATAAACTGTACTGAGACACCTCTTTGCACTGTGCCCTGACACCTACCTACACAACACATGGGCACCTATCTACACTGTTCCCTGACACCTGTCTACACTGTTCCCTGACACCTATCTACACTGTTCCCTGACACCTGTCTACGCTGTACCCTGACACCTGTCTACACTGTGACCTTGACACCTGTATACACTGTTCTCTGACACCTGTCTACACATTTTCCATGACACCTGTCTACATTGTGCCCTGACACCTATCTACACTGTTCCCTGACACCTGTCTACACATTTACCCTGACACCTGTCTACACTGTTCCCTGACACCTATCTACACTGTACCCTGACACCTGTCTACACTGTACCCTGACACCTGTCTACACTGTACCCTGACACCTATCTACACTGTACCCTGACACCTGTCTACACTGTTCCCTGACACCTATCTACACTGTACCCTGACACCTGTCTACTCTGTACTCTGACACCTGTTTACACTGTACCCTGACACCTGTCTATGCTGTACCCTGACACATGTCTACAGTTCCCTGACACCTGTCTACACAGTACCTGACACCTGTCTACACTGTTCCCTGACACCTATCTACACTGTACCCTGACACCTGTCTACACTGTTCACTGACACCTATATTCACTGTTCCCTGACACCTGTCTACACATTTACCATGACTCCTGTCTTCATTGTCCTTGACACCTGTCTACACTGTACCCTGACACCTGTCTACACTGTTCCTGACACCTGTCTACACATTTACCATGACACCTGTCTACTCTGTACCCTGACACCTGTTTACACTGTACCCTGACACCTGTCTACACTGTACCCTGACACATGTCTACAGTTCCCTGACACCTGTCTACACAGTACCTGACACCTGTCTACACTGTTCCCTGACACCTGTCTACACTGTTCCCTGACACTTGTCTACACTGTTCACTGACACCTATATACACTGTTCCCTGACACCTGTCTACACATTTACCATGACTCCTGTCTTCATTGTCCTTGACACCTGTCTACTCTGTTCCCTGACACCTGTCTACACTGTACCCTGACACCTGTCTACACATTTACCCTGACACCTGTCTACACTGTTCCCTGACACCTATATACACATTTACCATGACACCTGTCTACACTGTTCCCTGACACCTGTCTACATGATGTACCCTGACACCTGTCTACACTGTACCCTGACACCTATCTACACTGTACCCTGACACCTGTCTACACTGTACCCTGACACCTGTCTACACTGTTCCCTGACACCTGTCTACACTGTACCCTGACACCTGTCTACACTGTACCCTGACACCTATCTACACTGTACCCTGACACCTGTCTACACTGTACCCTGACTCCTGTCTTCATTGTCCTTGACACCTGTCTACACTGTACCCTGACACCTATCTACACTGTACCCTGACACCTGTCTACACTGTACCCTGACACCTATCTATACTGTACCCTGACATCTGTCTACACTGTACCCTGACCCCTCTCTACACTGTACCCTGACTCCTGTCTTCATTGTCCTTGACACCTGTCTACACTGTTCCCTGATACCTGTCTACACTGTACCCCGACACCTATATACACTTCCCTGACACCTGTCTACACTGTTCACTGACACCTGTCTACACTGTTCACTGACACTTGTCTACACTGTTCACTGACACTTGTCTACACTGTTGGATTGTTTCTTGTATAGCTTATCAAGCTTGTGGTCCTTGCTTTTATCATTTTGATGGCAGTTATTTTGTACTGTATCTCACTTCTTGCATCAGTCAGTGCAGTACTGCATGTCAGACAGTTGCTGTTGTGGTCATTGTTCTTGAATCATCTGGATTGTTAACCAGCGCATATTGTTAGTGCTTTATAACTTTTATGTTCCCTAATAAGCAATCTTTATGATTAATTATGGATTAATATCATTATTTAAAGGGCAGCAATAATCAAATTCTCATTTAACTGATACAATCACCAGATACCTTTTTACACTGAACACAAACCAGTCAAGATTAGTCCATGAGAAAAAAATGCCATTCTGTCAACACTTTCAAAATTTGAGTGTTATTGCCCTTAAAGCCTATGGCTTTGTGTGATCCACATTTGTTTTTGCAAAGCTCTTTTACTGCTTCGTTTTATACATTTTGATTAATATAGCATGCTTAAATATTACCATGAACTTAGAGATGAACATGATTAATGGTATGAGAACTAAGATATTGTTTTACTACGAAACAGGAATGTTGATAATGTTTGCTTTTAGAAGAAATTATTTTAAGTAACAGTAATGTTTCCAAACTGCTTCACTGTGTGTTGATGTTGCGTCACATGACCCATGTCGTGTGTCACATGACTGACATTTGTACTGGTTGTTCAGGTGACCTGTTCACACCCAGCCCAAACATTCCTCGAAGTCAGTACAGCAGCCAGCACCAGACTCGGCTCTTCATGCCCAGGTGAGACATACCAACCGATCAATGTTCAACAGGTGTCTGTATATAAATATTTCTAAATTGCACTCATGGTTAAACTATATTAAAAAGTTCATATTTTAAGGTGGCAATGTCAGATATCCTAATTTAAAGGTGTTGGAACATGTTTCCAATATCATGTACCCAGAGGTGCTGGACTGTTAGAATCCCAGTTGATGCATTTCAATGCAAGAGTTCTGTCCCTTTGAATGACAGGAACCTTTGATTATGGGTCCGAAATCTCCGATTCTCACTGATTAGGTCTCAAGGTGTGCACCATACCTGTAACAGTAGGTCTCCTTTGAGCCTTCCTTCCACAAGCTATGATGTAACTGAAATACTTTTCAAAACAAAGTTAAAGCAAACTGACTCACTCACTCAAATGGATCCACTATGTTTTCAGACGCAAGTCTCCAACAGTGCCATCAGGATTCCGGACCATGTCCAACACCACCTCTCCCAACAGCTCAACTAGTGGTAGTTCCTCTATCACCCCCAGAGATCCTCACATGGGAAGAGCCCATCTTCCAAGGGGAGCACCACCTCCACACTCACCCCATCACCTTCACCCACCCCTGGAAAGGTAATGAACTGATCCCCAGGGAGACAAGGGCAATCTCAACATTGTTATTACCTATGCATACATTTCTCAAAGTAGACGGAGTAAAGTCTCTGTAACATGATTGTATTTTGTAACAAATTCTTACCTTGAGATATTTTTATCTACCTATAATTACTTTCTGTGATTTGATTTGAGCTTTGTGATTGTGAGGCATGAAAACTTGCAACCATGTCCATCATAGATGCGTATTAAAACTCTAAATTTTGCCAATGACAGAACTTCAGTTTATGAATGTGAAACGAGATATGTTTTTATTCTGGGAATTTGTTTTGACACATTTTATAAAATCATGATGGTTAAGAATCTGTTATCATGGTTTCAGAACAGTGATGATGCTGGCCCAATGCTGGATTCACTCCAGGAATTTGCTCAAAATGGTGAGATTTTCCCGAACGTTGTTTATTACTTTCGTGACTTCAGGGAAAACAAGATCCATTGACATTAGAACTTGTTGGAACAAACATATAAAATAGATATAGAATGATGATAAGGCTACCAAAGGGAAGTAACTGCCAATTTAAAGAAACGACTAAGTTACTGGATTGAGATCAGAAGGTCAAGCTCTGTGGACTGCCCAGCATCATTGCTCATGCTTTCAGTCACTGGATTGCCTGGTCCATGATATTGATGGAAGATTGGTTACCACAGTGTTAAATAAACAGAAACATGTAATGTGCAGACCTAAGGAAACCATGTATTTAGTTGTTTACTGAAACGATTGTTGAATCCTTCCTCAGATGAAGTGTCGGGATCCTCAAGAAGCTGTCTCTGGAAAAGTACCACCCCATCTTTGAAGAGCAGGAGGTGAGTGGTGACAGGAAGGGCTGGGAGGTTGATAATTCAGGTAGAAGTTCAAGGTCTTTTTCAAATGCCATGTTCTCAGTGGTATACTGGGTTCGACTCTGTACCCAGCAACCAGGTTTATAAGAAGAAGGTCGTATTAGGCAACAAGATGGATTGAAGCCCAGCATCAGTAACTTGATCGATTACACTGTTAATGGCATCATGGATTTTTGCTCATAATGTCAATCACTGGATTGTCTGGCCCAGACTATGATATTTACAGGTAGCTGCAAAACTGATAAGTGCAATATTAGGCATATATACAAACAAACAATAACTTCCTTTCTCCTCTCATTTCTATTGTGGGGCAGTGGGGTAGCCTAGTGGTTAAAACTTTCACTCATCACGCCAAAGACCCGGGTTCGATTCCTCACATGGGTACAATATGTGAAGCCCAGTTCTGGTGTCCCCCGCCATGATATTGCTGGAATATTGCTAAAAGCAGCGTAAAACTAAACTCACTCACTCAGTTCCATTGTACAGAAAACCACAACCTCCTATGGCAGACCTCCTCATAAGGTCACTCTTTCACCAATTCACCATTAATTGTCTGGACATGCATAATTAACATTATATCTTAGAGTGAAAAAAGCCTAGTTCAGAAGAAAAAATATGACATGTTATGACATGGTTCAGGGTAAAAATAACTTACTTTGAATGAAACTGATATTTTTATGGTTAATTAAACTGAATTTCAACATGTTCAGTGAGATGTGATATGAGATAGAGCAGATATTTTTCCTTATCCTGACTCATGCTCTTTTGCTTGTCTTCTTCTTCTTGCGAACATAGTGGAACACTTGTATCTCCTTATTTGAAGCTCCCTTCAAAATAAAATCACTAATTGGTACTCACCACGAGTTGCTCCCCTTTGTCTCCCCTGGCGGGAAAGGTGTCGCCACCCTCTGGCCATGTGCTCCACTCTCTCCTTCTTCGCCCAGTGAGCAGGATGTGAGAGCGCCTTGTGTCTCCTTACACACATATCCTTTGATAATCTCTTAGTTTTTACCTCTCATAGGTTACTATAGAGGTATAGCTAGTATCCTTTACTATTTGTATTGATTAATTATCATTATTTCTACTGTTTATTCCGCGTGTATTAGTGATTGTTCAGCTAGCTTTACGTTGATGAAAATCTATGCGATTTGTAGATTACGTTTTTCTGCCTCCGATCCACATGTAATATGCCCTAGTTGTTCTAATGCGTGTCGCGTTTAATTCACGTTGCAGTTACTGCATTAATTTATCTCATTCTGCATTTAATAAATATCATCTTTAAGGCGTCTTAAGGCGTGCTGCAGATAGATCACGCAAACAAGGGCAAAACATGGCAGAGAGTCCAGATATTCCTTCCAGTCAGCTGCTAGCGATCGACCCTCTCCCGTCTGGTGTTCTGCTAGAGACCCCTGCGGCAGAGGAGCGTGGGGCGCCGATCCGTTACCTCGAAGAAACGACCGGCCTCCCCAGACATCCCGTCATTGCAGACTAAGTCTAAGAGGGCCTCATCGTCGTCTCAACGCAGATTGAGGACACCCAGGGCAGCGCCAGACTTCCAAAGGAAATCTGAAAGACAGCAAGAACTTTCTCAGCCGAGATCGTTCCAGCAGCAGAGTTGGGCCTCGATGATCAGCCGATAATCATCCCGACTTACGGCAGAAGAAGCGACCAGTGTCAGCGACTGTGACTTCTGCAGAGATCACCATGCAGCCTGATGCCTCTACACGGCGTCAGGCGTCATTGATGTGAACCCCATCGCAGAAAAGGCGCCCGGACGACTTCGTCTGATCATCCCAGAAGACATGATCGCGGCAGATTATGAACATCATGGAGGACCACTACAAACTGCGCCAAGCAGTCCGAGCAGCCAGCGAAGGCTCCAGCGTGAACAGCACCCCCAGAGGCACCCCGTCAGCGTAGCAGCCAAGGCGATGTCACCTTCCGGCGAAGGAAGTCCGCACCACCTTGGCGAAGGACCTAGATGTACAGCCTTGCGAAGGCCTTGGCGGGCGGAGAGATCATCACCATCTTCGATTTCATCTCTAGATATGGACTCAGACCATCAGACATCACGGAAGCCTTGAAGGTCATATCATCGATCCCCGGACCGGGCGCTTAAATGAAGCTTCTTGCGAAGGCATTCGCGAAGGACATATGATTCCAGATCTTCATCGTCTAGAAGAACATCGAGGGACTGCCGAAGAGCTTGCTGCGAAGCTATCAACATTCACCTCACAAGTCTCGAGAAGATCATCCCATAGGCGATCTCCCTTAGTTCATCACCAGGTCGATCACCCGTCAGATCTCCACATAGAAGCGCACAAGTCAACTAGATGCGCCACAAACCTCATCAGATATACAGACAGCTACGCGGTCGAAGAGCATCTACAATTTGTTAATGATGATGGTTTTGAGGATGATGGAGGAATCATATTTTCTGATGCAGAATCACGGTATTGGATGGTCAATAACCTAGATCTCACATCACCATCTAAAAGTGGCAATACAGCTCAGGCGTATTTGATGAAGGAAGATGATCCAGATGCAATCACTCTACCCCGATCGACCCGATTGCGGCAGTGCCACAGAATCTAGATGCAGCTTTCCAGAAAGCTCACGAAAGTTCAGATACCACATCTGCCCAACTTTCAAGCCAAGAAGTTCTCCGCATAACATGGACTCCTTCTACAAGGCCCAGGACATCGATGAGAACTATAAGATCATCAGCGATGTAAAGAACAAGATTTACAAGATGGATGATGCATAAAGTTGGCTCATATAGAAACCATGGCCGAGGCGTATGTTCTTTGGGTTAAATAGATCTAGGGCGATCAATGAGACTCTTATTACTAGATTCGGGATTCCACGACGGAAGATGATAGAATGATTTATTCTGCCTTACTTATGCAAAGAAAGATCAGCAGTTTTTAGCGGATCATCTTACATCTGTTTCAGCAGCACTGACCTTAGCTTCGTCGTCAAGGCCTCCTCGCCTCCTGTAATTGGGGAGAACTTTACAGCCCCACTTTATACAGCCCGTGGTCGACAACATCCATCTTTGGCGGAGAAATCGACAAAGTCGCCAAGGAAGTCTCTAAGGATTCCAGGAAGTCCTTATGATTAGATCGATGGACACACTAGCCAGCGTCATTAGGTCAGACTTCACAAAGATACTCAGGCAGATCTAAGTTCACGGGCCTACAAAGAGCAAGAGACAGGAAGATAGCCAGCTCTAGAGGTAAAGATTCTTTTAAAATAAGCCCATATGGCAACTATAGAGGAGGATCAGGAAGAGGCAGGACACCCAGAGGTTCCCAATTATAGGCAGCTGAAACACAGGTTGGAGCGACTGGAGTCTTCCACCCCAGCCGTTCCAGTACAACCAGCTCAAGTGGGTGGGCGCCTCCAACTACACTGGGAAAACTGGGGAATATTGCAAGACCCTTACGTCTCCAACATTCTTCAACACAGTTTATTATCCCTCTACAGGCCAAGCCTCCGCTGACAATCAAACCCCCAAGTTAGATTTACAAAGCAACAACTACCAAAGATAAAAGAGGCTGTTTCATCACTCCTATCCAAACAGGCCATAGAAGTAATAGATCAAACAAGCGTCGAACCAGGTTTCTACTCCCCAGTTTTCCTAGTTCCCAGAAAAACTCCGAGAAATACAGACTCATCTACAACATGAGCTTTTTCAACAAGAACTATCTCGCCAAACCACGAGAGTTTAAGCATGATACATTTACCTCAGTTAACGCCAGATGATTAGATCCTATGGACTACATGGGCAGCATAGATCTACAGGATGCCTACCTGCACATCCCCATTCATCCCGATTCCAGGAAATACCTACGATTTACTCTAGAAGGGCTACATTACCAGTGGAAAGTACTCCCATTGAATATCATCAGCCCCCTGGCTATTCCGAGGATAGCGAAAACCGATTATCAAATTTCTACATCGTCAAAGGGCTCGCGGTCGTTTTACCTCGACTGACGGGATACAAGTAGATCAAGATCCACTGCGTCTCAAACTACAGTTAAATTACATCATAAAGCTACTAACACAACTAGGTTGGTTAGTAAACTTACATGAAGTCGGACCTAGTACCATCGCCAAGACCTGCAGTTCCTAGGTATTCGATTCATCACAAATCGCAACCGTATTATGGTACCAGAAGACCGTTGGCTCAAGATACAACAGACCATTCCACCAGCTCTACTCTCTCCGTTACCACTGCGACAATGGCAGAGCCTACTAGGTCTTCTCACATCAGCCCAAGACATGACTGTCACAGGCAGATTACAGATTCGTCCCCTACAGGTCCTCATCAGCACATCTCAGCGATGTACAACCATTCAGTCTACGAAACATCTCAGACCACATCTACTATGGTGGACCAAGAAATCGAATGTCTGCGAAGGTTTTGTTTAGCAGAGCAGGAATACAAAACCCATCTGTATGTAGGCGCGTCCTCCAAGGTTGGGGAGCTCATCTCACCAACCACACGATATCAGGGTTATGGAATCAGCAAGAATGCAAACTCCATATAAACAGTCTAGAAATGAAAGCTGTAATCAACGCCATTCTACATTGGAGCACATTTCTACAAAATGCGCGCCTAATGATCCATACAGACAATTCGACGGTGGCGTTCTACATAAACAAGCAAGGCTCAGCGAGATCGATGAACCTTTTGAACCTAAGCTTTCAACTGTTCGATTTAATACAAGATCTAAATCTACATGTCAGAGCAGTGCACATTCCGGAGCCAGAAATATACTAGCAGGCGCTCTCTCTCGGCCTCATCTACCATCACCGACAGAGTGGATGATCAACAGGGAAATTTTTGCACAGATAATCAAGCAATTAGGAGCGCTAATAGACCTATTAAGCCCGCGATTCAACAATCAGCTACCGACATTACGTGTCACCAGTCCCAGACCCCCAAGCTTGGGCAGCGGGGCGCTCTAAGTCTATCATGGGAAGGCCTCAATGCGTCACAGCGTTTCCGCCGCCAGCAATAATACCTCAAGTATTACAGAAAATCAGACAAACACAGAGCCTACAACTCACTTTGGTCGCCCTACTGGCCGGCCAGAGCGTGGTTTCCCATACTAATTCAAAATCGGTCAACCAACACTGGAGCTACCCAAGCGCGCAAACCTGTTAATTCATCCTCACACCAAACAAGTGCGGAAACCCAGCAATGTTCCAACTACTGCATTATGGACTGTATACAAATGTGCTTAAACAAGAGAGGATATTCTGCCAGGGCGGCAAAAGCAGTCAAACGCTTCGTTACTCAACTTCGTAACATGCGGCGACAAGTGGCACAGTTTCGAAAATTATGCAACAAAGAAAGGTTTACAGCAAGAGGCTTCACAACCTCAAGTGGCAGACTATTTGTGTTACCTACGCCAAAACAAACATTTAAAAGGTTCAGCGATATCAACATATCTTGCAGCTTAGTTCTGTTCTGTAATCACCATGAGAGCGGGTGTCAAATTGACAAGATCTCCAGAGTTACTGGCCTTACTACTGAGCTTTCGATTGGAGGACCAAAGCGGAAGTTCCACGCCCAGCAGGATCTGAATGTAGTGTTACAACACCTCACGAGTGAGGTCTATGAACCTTTGGAATCGACAAACTTTGAATTTCTCTCACAGAAAACATTGTTTCTGCTATCGCTAGCCACAGCAGCAAGAATGTCTGAAATTCAGCTCTGGATTCTGAGAGGATACAGTTTGATGACAATCATAACACAGCGCACCTCGGATTAAGATGGGATTTCATCGCCAAAAAATCAACTGCCAGGTCAACCAGACAGATTATTCCACATCCGGCGCTATCCTCTATTCTCGGATCACAAGATACACAAGACCTATCACTGTGTCCGTAAGAAGCTCAAAGTTTATTCTGACGATCCAAAACAAGGAGAAGATTTCTCAAGCGTTTATTCATCCCATTATAAGCCTCACTGAATCAAACAGAAGTGTCACGGACCACAATATCTATTTGGATAAGGACTGTCATTCTCCGTGCCTACAAGGCAGCAGGCTTGGACCCACCAACAGCATCAAATCCACATGAGATCAGGGCACTGGCCTCTACCCTAAGCCCTACTGCGGTAACTGTTCCTTGAACACGATTATGGAAGGATGCTATTGGAAATCTAACATGGTATTTGCTAATCACTACCTAAGAGACATCACTACAGAAGATGTCTCTGGCATTCACCATTTCGGACCACTGGTCCTCGCTCAGCAACTGACAGTCCCTCGTAGGCGTTAAAATATTATCCTCACAAGATTAATATGTATTTTATACATACTCATCTAGCTTATAACTCTACGGAGTTTTAGGGCTATGTATATATGTTCAGCTTAAGTATTCAACCTTAAGCATATACTTGGATATAGTCAATTTCAGTGCCTCTATCAGAGTCACCTATATATATATATATAATTTATATGTATTGTTCAATATATTCATAATGTAATTCCCCTTTAATGGCTTTATATAACCTATGGTTTTCTTTATACAGGAAACATCCTAAATCTAAGCCTTCATGAAGTTCCCGTGGGAATATTACAGTATATCTATACAAAATCACTAATTATAAATCCAAAGTATTCTGTTACCCACCTCCGTTCATTAGGATGCTACAAACAAAGAGCATGAGTCAGGATAAGGAAAAATATGTAATTTTTAGAGTAAAATTGATATTTTATACTTATCCTGACTCATGAGGTTAGCTCCCTCCCATCCTCCCCACATAACACTTTGGATTTCCTGTAAATTCAAGTGTTGGGCTCGCTAAATCAGGAGAGAGTGGAGCACATGGCCAGAGGGTGGCGACACCTTTCCCGCCAGGGGAGACAAAGGGGAGCAACTCGTGGTGAGTACCAATTAGTGATTTTATTTTGAAGGGAGCTTCAAATAAGGAGATACAAGTGTTCCACTATGTTCGCAAGAAGAAGAAGACAAGCAAAAGAGCATGAGTCAGGATAAGTATAAAATATCAATTTTACTCTAAAAATTACATTTTTATAAGATATTGTGTACGTTGTAAGTCTGTATTTAATAAGGTAATATCAAACATATTGTCATTGTCACAGACATACTTTTGAACTGACATACCTGTGAAATAACACAGTGAGTGATCAGAGTTACCTCCCTTCTGTCAATGATTTGTACAATAGGTGGATATGGAGGCCTTCCTCACGCTAACCGATGATGATCTGAAGGAACTGGGAATCTCCAACAACGAATCTCGGCGCCAGATTCTGACTGCCATTACTGAGCTGAATACAGGGAAGGTATGTATCGTCTCCCACAGATGAATGCTGGGCACTAAAGATGATGAACCTATGAAAAAACAAAATGCTTATGGAATATGTTGTAGTTTAGACCTTCCAAAGACATTTTGTGTTATCATTATTTGTCTGCATACACTGTCTGAAGGACACAGATTGTTGGAAACATTGTGATTATGGAAATACTACACCTGTAAATTGGAGATGCTCAGCAAAGTCTATTAACATGCAGACATTGGGGTAATATGTTCTGTTATTATCCCCTCAACACGTTTTGCAGTCTTAAAATGGACTTCGTCTGTCCGTCTGTCCATCCATGCACATTCGTCTTTTCCAGAGCAGAACTTAAAACCGTTCACTATTTCTTCACCAAACTTCCTTTTTGTATATTTGGAATTCTGAATAAAATATATTTTGCGTTTCCAAGTTCGACTTTGACTGAATTTGGTGGTAGTGCTCTCTTCTGGAGCAGAACTTTAAAGCCGTACAATATTTCTTCACCAAATTTGACACATAGATAGGTCTAGTGGTGAACTGGTGTCTTTTGGTAGTTTTGGATTTCTGAATAAAATATTTTTTGCGTTTCAGTGGCCACAAGTTTGGCTTCGCCTGAATTTGGTGGTAGTGCTCCTTTCTGGAGCAGAACTTAAAAACCTTCCACTTTACAATATACACTCCAAAACATTTGACGTAATTATACCTAGTTGACATATTAATGAAGGGTATTCCGCCATTGCGGAAAATATTGATGACTTTGTGTTCTTGTTTTGTTTTCGATATATTGTTAATTTGTGATGTACCCCGGAAGCTGTATCAGTGCTTGCTCTGGACACAAAATCAAAAATGATTCTGGTCCTAAGATGTGTCATGGATCAGGTGGTCCGATGGCTCCACCTATCACTGGCTTGGTTGATGCAAGTCATTGTGTCCCGACTAGGGCTCATTGCTGACAGTATCAGTCAGTTGATACTCATCCATACTCACTTAGTTATCAGCTGTGTCACACAGCTGGAATATTGCTGAGGGAGAGTTATACAACAAACAACACAAAAGGATTAAGAAATGTTGCAGGTGCTTGTCTTGGTACGTAAACAAGATGAAACATGTTACCGAGAAGTCATTGAATATTGTTGATCACTCCAGGGCAGAGAGCGGCAGCAGTTCGTGGACACAATGGCTAGTTTCCAGTCTACTCTGCGTGAGCGGAACATATCCAATGGTAGGACAAAATCATATACATATCAGTTTTTTCTTCACTGGTAGTCAGTTTTACTTCTTCAAAGAGCTCTTCCCAATAAAGGGGAATTTTGTAATTCAAGGTATGGGGCATAACAATGGATGTAAGTGAAATCATGTGAAACTTATTGGAAGTCACTTTATTGGCAATAAATAAGGAAATAAGATGAGTTGTTATAATGTTTACTTCCTTGCAGGAGCTGAGATTAGAAACCTGATGGGATGGGCAATGTCTGAGGAAAGAGATCCCCATATACCATCTGCAAAATCACGATCGTCATAGCGACCGCTTTAACCTGATGGGATGGCCTGTGTGTTAGGACAGAGCTCTCCATATACCATTTGTAAAATCAGTGTCATCATAGCAACAGCCATGTCTGAAGACAGAACCACATAAATATACCATATACAAAGTCATGGTCGTCATAGCAATAACTTGATCCTAATGGAATTGGCCATGTCTGTGCTCCCATTCATGGTCGTCATAGCAACTGCTTGATCCTGATGGGATGTACCATGTCTGTCCTCCACATTCATGGTCGTCATAGCAACTACTTGATCCTGATGGGATGAGCCATTTCTGAAGACATTGCTCTACATATATCATCAGCCAATTCATGGTCGTCATAGCAACTACTTGATCCTGATGGGATGGGCCATGATTGAAAAGAGTGCTCCCTGCATATCATCAGCCAATTCATGGTCGTCATAGCAACTACTTTTCCTGATGGGATGGGCCATATCTGAAGAGAGTGCTCCACATATATCATCAGCCAATTCATAGTCATCATAGCAACTACTTTTCCTGATGGGATGGGCCATATCTGAAGAGAGTGCTCCACATATATCATCAGCCAATTCATGGTCGTCATAGCAACTACTTGATCGAGATGGGATGAGCCATATCTGAAGACAGTGCTTGACATATGTCCTGGGTCAATGTGTGGTCGTCATAGCAACATTGTTATCATTTCATCACAGGAGTGAATGTGTTACAGAATGATAGATGCCAACCATGTTATATTGCATATTCTTTATATCTGTTTGTGTGTACATATTGTACAAATTGTATATAGAATTGTATTTTGTTGAATTGTCCAGATTTTATTGGTGTTTACAGAGGGTTCATTTTGGCTTGATTAGGTGCTTCTCCGTCCTTACCACTGATTTATTGACATGAGTCAGTATACCATTGATTTTATTTTCTATTTATGAAATGCTCTTTATGTAATACCATTTTTACATCTCTGTCTCAGTGCATGCCAAAAATATAATCTCTCTGATTGGTATTTTAGAAGTTAGTGAGTAACAATGAAGGCATGATACTTTATGGATGTCAATATCATTATACAATATATAATACATTTTGGTGTAGATTATTTTGCTGTTGTTTAGCATGAGTGACTCTTGCTTGACAACAATATAAAATCCATACAGAAATGTTGCATCATAATGTATCAAAGAAGTTGTCATCTATACAGGGTCTTACCTTTATTGCAAAATATATGACACAAAAATATAGTGCTACAACGGGCTCTGAATCCAAGATGTTTCCAGGAAGATGACGTCCTCTATCCTCCGGGTGTTGATGGCCACACCATGTTGAATAATACCCTCGGCCCTGTTGTTACACTAGCTTCTTTTAGATCCAGAAGTTTATGGAAATAGACATAAATTGAGATCTCACGAAGATTTGATGGTGACTGGATCTTGGATAATTATTATGATAGGAGGTACATGTGTATGCATGTCTATGATATTTGGCAAGTCTAGATTACTGCTGTTTCTGTAAATGTCTCTTTGCTTCCTTTTAACTATATTAGGGACCGTTCATAATTTATGGATTTTTTAATTTAATTTTTTTTGGGGGAGGGAGATGATTTTAAGGGGGTTCACCCATTTTGTTCTGGGGAGGTTAGGGGTCATCAATTTTGTACACGTTTCTGGGGAGTCAGCAATTTTGTACATAAAAATATTTTAAAATTATGCTTTAAAAATATGGAAGGAGGGAGGGGGCATTGACTTTGTACATGAGATGCAGGGGTTTTCACTTACTTTGTACATAAATTTTAGGGGGGGTAATTCACATTGTACATGATTCTCCATAAAACACACACATACACACACACACACACACACACCACAGCCATAAATTATGAACGGTCCCTTATCAGATGATTTAATAAGTGTTATTTACTTTTGTGAAATGTGCTGAAGAGCACAAATAAGGGAACACATGAAATTCATGAATTAGTGTGGATGCACACCGAAAGGAGTGTGGGTGCTTAAAATTCGTTGCAAAAAGAGTTTTTCATAACTTCCATAATCTTTAGGCCTTGAGGAGCTGTCTTTTGACACTCAAAAATTATTTGGCTACAGTGATACTGCTTGGTAGCCTAGTGGTTAAAGCGTTTGCTCGTCACGCCGAAGACCCAGGTTCGATTCCCCACATGGGTACAATGTGTGAAGCCCATTTCTGGTGTCCCTCGGCGTGATATTGCTGGAATATTGCTAAAAGCGGCGTAAATGTAAACTCACTATTTTGCTTGGAACTACTTTCAGTGAGACATATTGTAGTCATGGGTGAATAAAACACAGGCTCATGTGTCAAGATGCTTCTTATATAAACCTTGGATTTTGTTAATAAAACAATGGTAGGATTGTGTCAGATTAACCTTGATTGTCTAGACTATCAGATCGCCATTGTGCATTGATAAACATCTTTGACCTGTTTGCCACTAGATTTTTCACTTTCATCAGAATGATAGGTAGTTGTGAACAAATGTTACCAATATTGAGTTAAATACAACCACAACATCTTTTGATCCAATAGATACATATTTAGTACTCACTCAGACAAGGCTGTCATTTTCAGTGTAGCTCAGTGCCAAAATATTGTTCAAAGATCCAGTTTCACAGGTCGCCATTAGGGAGAGAAAATGTCTCTATGGAGGAGAGGAACTTGATGAACTTCTTCCACAAAGGTGTGGTAGTGAAAGGGCCATAATGATTATAGATACAAATAGAGACATGATACTCTTGATGAATCTAGGATTCTGTTGAAGACATGCTCCTGTGAAAATGTTTGCACTCAAGACAAAATGTCTATGTTTTTATGAATATACATGCAGTTAAAGCCTGTAGAACCACAGTGTTTACATGCCCTTGTTTTGTAGAACCACAGTGTTTACATGCCCTTGTTTTGTAGAACCACATTGTTTACATGCCCTTGTTTTGTAGAACCACATTGTTTATTTCTACTGTGTTATATAAGTGTAGAGAATATAATTATGTGCATGTTTTGTAACATATCTCCCACCTTTATTTGTGCCCATTACCTCGTGGCTATCGTTATACATGTAGTTCTGATAATCCCATGTACAGAAAGTGGTTATGTATTTATTCTATTGATTGTTTTGCAAGTATACTGCTCCAAGAAAGTTAAGGAACTGATACTTTCATATTGCCACAGTTGATCTGTCAAGTCAGTCATGTTTGTTCCTTGATTTCTTTTGAGTAGTATATGTAAGAAACGTGTATGTATAACGGTCTCATGAAATGCTCTTTGATACATAACAGGTCATGAACCACACACCAAAGTTAAAATATTACATATTTGGGATGCCATGTTTTTAAAAGGATTCATATCTCAGTACAAAGTTGTCAACTTTGTAGTGTAAATAGCTGAATTGTTTGTAGAATATTGTTACCGAAGTATTGTTGTGTTATGGGTTTTCGGACACTCAACAACTACCACTGTTGTCTCGAATATCGCATAAACAATTGTAAAACATAACTTTATTTTAAACACAAGCCATCATGCGGGAATTTACAATCTTTGTGACGTAACACCTCGCATAGTCCGAGTGAGCACCGTCATCTGAAAATATGTTTGAAAACCTTTTCAGCCTCAATACTTTATGATTACATGATACATGAATGGTATTTTACTTATCAGTCTCCTTGCTTTTGATCATCTACCTATATGTACACATTTTAATGAACATGTCATAACACCTCATGTCCAGTAACCCAGGAAGGTAAGATACTATTAAGATTAATGTTCTGCAAAACCGTTGCTGTCACATACCTGGAATATTGCTGACTGCGGCATTAAACAATAGCTCCTTCCTATGCCGAGGTTTCTACATCTGAGTGACAGCCTGCATCGTAACATGTGAATGCACAGGTGTTCAAGGATCTATCTTGGTGCTGATTGTCTCACCACACAATATGTCAGTGTAAAATAATATTAGTTAATATCTCAGGTGTTGTTCAGTTTCATGAGCAAGACATTTTGAGTCAATAATGGTTGTTAATATGGTCTGGACCAGACAAACCAGTGACTGAAGGCATGAGCAAAGGTCCACAATTACAGGGTACACTGACATACCATCAGCCACGTAGCAGAGCAGTACTATCCGATTCCTACTGTAACACTGGGGACTTCGTCTGAACCAGAATCTTCACAGGCTAATGAAACTACAGAATGGATGGAGGAGGTGGCTATGAAAAAGAATCACTGGAAATTTTGTCAAGCAATCAGGGTGAATTAGGTGATCAATGTGCTTTAAATGTTGAAAATAAGATTGTGATAATGTGAACCACTGGTGTAGAGCCTTATTCTCAGAGAAGACTTTCACTTGGGCCTGCTTTACTTTCAGTTCTTGTCCAAAGTATCCGTCCATTGTTGAGAGATGCCAGAAATATCTGTGATTTTGCAGATGTAAGTTTTTATTATTCTCCTTGGTTAAATGTGAATATTTTATCATGTTATGAAAAAAGATTTTTCAAGCACAATGTTCTTGACTGCATGTTGAAAAGTACTTTCAGCTAAGAGGTAGCACTTTTAAATCAAGAGCACCAGTATTTTTTGGGGGGAGGGCTGGTTTTCATCCTTTTCCTCCCCATGACATCTTAATGTAACACAACCTAAAACTACACATAGATGAATACACTGCTTAAACATCATCGATCTCTGCCATAAGTCATCCTTTTCCCATTGATCATTTTATTCTTCTTTGTTAAAAATAGGCATTATATATTTATTTTGGAAATAGGACCAAATATATTGTCTTGTTAAAAACCCACAATTTAGGGTAACTTGATGCACAGTTGATATTTAGGATATTTCTAAGAATAAAACCCTTAAAAAGTGTTTTCTTTGAAAAAAACATTTGCATAAAAGTATGCTCACATCAATATTCATTTTGATTTATGAAATATTTGGAGTTGACCTATGTGGGAATAAAGACTTGACTGACATAGCTAGACACTGAATATGATCTAAAAAATTTATAAGAAAGGTTGTATACATTTTAATGAAATCCCTCATAAAGGTGAAACTGTCAGAACTATGTACCAAAAAAGGTCAATTTTCACAAATCCAAAGTATGATTTTCATCTTCCCTTTACACAAACATTTTAATGTACAGTGACTAATGATACCACCTTCTATCAACATGTCACGTACAATAGTTAAACTATGAAACTTTACCTGATTTTTAAAAGTGCATAGTGCTACAGTACTGAATGTACTCCAATGATCAATGTTTGTTATCTTAAGGTTGACACTGCTTGAACAGGTACCATGCATTATAGTGCTTTATATCATCCGTCCATGATTTGGTCCCTCCAGCTGTTTACAGGCAGACATTTTAAGTTAAAAAGATTTTATAGCTTGTATGCATTTACATTGTTGTTAGTTGTTGTTCTAGTCTCATTACCTGCATACAGACATACAAATGTCAATTGCTGCTCTGTACATAAAGTGTTGAATAAATCTTTAAGGAATCAACATGGTGCTTATGTTTTTCTTCAGTGAACATGGTTTTACTCCACCATATTCCAGCATTATTACAGCAAATGGTAATAATAAATGGCAATTTTGTTTCTGTTTGTGCTTTATTGCCACACTCAGCAATATTACAACTACATGACACTGAGATTCCAGTATTAAGTAATAAAAAATCAAACCAATCAAAAACAAAGCATGTTAACAAAATTGTTTATTCCTTCATGAAAATGAACGATAAATGCAGTTGAGACTATTCGCTCAGTCATACAACTAGTGATGTACACTGAGAGAGTTAATTTAAGATAAAGCCTCAACATTGAAGTGTCACCATCGATAAACAAGTGAACTTACAACATTATGACACAGGCATTTCTACACTGGTTCAGGTGATGTAACAAACAGAATATTGACGAAATAAATGCCATTCTGAGATGAACAATTAATAGATCATATTTGTTACCAGCTGCAACATACTTGACTCATTTGACTCCATTATTGACCCTGTCGAGAATGAAGCCCAGTGGTCAGACATGATGATTTTTAAATCATGAATATGATGATGTTGATCAACAACAGTCTCTTGACACCTTCAAGACACTTCCTGAAAAAGGAAGGTAATAAGTCCAGTTTTCAACATGTTCAGTCTCTACTTGGGTGTTTTCACAGATCACATGACTGGCTTTGGCTGTTGTGTTGGGAGGATTCCGAACCTCTTCTTGATTGTCACTCTGTGTCTGGAGTATTTGTCATCTGGGGAGAACTTGGCCGGATGCGCTGATACTGTTGGTTTTCCTGTAGGGTCATTTTTCTGAAATCATGGCAAAATTGTTGTAAACTATTTCATACACATCACTTTGGTATATCACAACCTATATTTATTATTGACATACACTGTCCGTCAATGTGATGGTGTATGTATATATATTTTGGAGAATCATCAAATTCTTACTAGTATTGAAATAACGAAGTCTGAAATTTCCGGTTTGTTTCACGACAAAAACGTGACTTTATTCGTGTTCACTTCCCTATTAAGTGATGGAATCTTACTTATGGGGGAGA